TCGAAATTATGAAGTAAAACATTCCTAATTTGTGGAATTAAGCTTTTGCACCCAATGGATTGCAGATTTCAATATCGTCATAGTAAATTTGGATAAAAAGAGGATTTCCTGTAAAACTACTGACAAATTCCCCTGACTGATAATCCCGTATAATATTTTTATCCTGATTCAGACGTCCTCCGGCATCAGTGACCTCTCTATATTTTTTAAGGGCTACGGGAAGAATATCAGATATCCGGAAGTAGTACATATTGTCAAATTTCTCACGCATCGCTCCTACTGAATTGTCGAATTTGAAATGCGAACCAAGTCGTAGTTCCTGTGCTTCTATAAATATTTTTGTTTTCTCTAAATATTTTTCAATTTGATATTGAGATGAAGTTTGTTTCGGAAATGGTTCCTTTAAAGAGTTTAATTTGATAATAATTTCATCGTGGGAAAGATTTGGTTGTAGGAAAGTCTTAGCAATATCAACAATGCTATTAACCAAAGAATTTGCAGCACAAAGAATTTCCCCAGATTTTACTAGGGGAATTGATCCAGACATTTGAAGTGACCTCATAAATGACAATTTATAATCATTTGTCACTTCATTAATTATTTTGGCAGAATAATCATGACTAAAAAAACTTTCTTGAGACAAAATATTCTCATCATTAAGGTTATTTGTTATTTTTGGAAAACTAAATTGTGAAAGTAATTTTGGGCATATTTTGGCTTGCACGTGTTTTCTAAGATTGTTAATATTTGTGAAGGTCATTAAATACAAGGGACAATCTATTCTGGCTGAAGGCCCTGTTATCTCGTGAAAATCCCTGATATGATTCCAAAAAGATTTGAAAGAATTTAAGGAACGATGACACAAGCTACATATATACACATTTTCTTCCTTAACTACACTAACCTTCCTAATTGCACCAATTATTTTTAGTCTGTTTCCTATTGACGGGACCAGCGTGGCAAACAGATGTTCCTCAAGTGAACCAGCAGGGCAGTCGGGAATTTGACGAAGAAGTTCGTCGTCAAAATCATTATCTAAAATTGGAAAAATAAATAATTATAATAATGACCAAGCATTGCACGATTTTTTAATAGTTCGGATGACATAAATAGTACAACACCTATATTTTTCACCAAATATATAATCTTACCTTTAAAAGTTTCCAATAATACTTCCAGTCCAACTGTCTGGAGAATTGATTCCAAAAATTTCGTCATTTCTAGAAATTTTTAACTAATTTGCAGGAACAAAAATCTCCACCTAACTAGAGCGGCGAGGTGGCAAGAAGAACTGAAGAATTTTTGTGCTCGCGGGAAGCGTCATCCAAGACCACACAACTGGTTTGTTAATTTTGATACAAGTGTTGAGTAAAATTTCCTCAACTTATGTATAAAATTTATTCTTTATTGTAGCGAGTTTTTCAACTTTTACGTTGGTTTATTTGTTGCAATTATTTGTAAAAAAAACTAACCAATAATTGAGTAAAAATTAGTCATACATGTAGAAAACCGATTTTTCACAAGTAATGACTACAAAATTTACAACGTTGGGTAAAGATCAATTTATACAACTCCGTTGATTAGTTTTTAGTCTTAGGTTGGAATAATTTGTACCAATGTTGTAGAAAAATTAACCAATTCCACTTTACTCAACCGGTTGTACACAACTTTATTTAGCATGTACTTACTTTTTACTTATTATATGTACATATGTATTTATGATAAATCTGTTGTACAAAATGTATATACTTTCAAATCAACTAACGTAAATGAAATTGACACCTATTTTTACACGCCTAGTCCGTCTTTTCTTCCAAATTGTCCTTACAATTTCTCCCACAAAGACCCCCCAACTTATCGCACCCCCAAACAACAGGACGATAAAGATGGTGCCAATATTCGAAGATAATTCCTGCCCCTGAATCCCCGACCCTCCAGATGAGTACCCCCTCTTATAATGAGCTATATTAAGTTGAGCAAAAAAATTCGTCCACTTCCAGTAGATTCCAGACTCTAAAATTTTATGAATCCCTCCACCCACAAAGTTCCACCCGTATTTCGAAATTACTAAATATTTCCTTCTTGAAAGATACGTTTCCTTCAAGATTTTGTAAGATTTTCGCTTCAAATGCGACTTTTTTGAAAGTACGCGCTCAATAGTTTCTTCAATATCGTCCGACCACGTGACCAGGGCAGATTTTTTACAGTCTGCCAGTAATCGGGCGCCATCCTGAACGTTATATGAGTCCAAATTGAACAGAGTTTGAAATAACGGGTAATCCTTCACCTTATCATACACCGTGTTAAGATAAGCTTTATGGAACGTGAAATCGGCAGCTTGTTCGGGCCGATTACATCTGGAAAGTCGCGGTATTTTGCGTCGCTGTCCGTAGTCAAAAAAACAATATCGATACATAAAGACGGCCTGGAATTTACTCCGAAAATTGTGCAACTCAAAATTTGGATCAAGTTTTTCAAACGCTTCCTTAATAACGATCGAGATTGATAACTCGTTTAAAATATAGGAACTTATCTCCGACAAGGACTCGGTAGCGTATTGGGCTGAGTAAAAATTTACGAAACGAAACTCCTGGTTAGTCATGTTGTCCAAAGATGACGGGACATTAGATATTAACGGAGCGGTTAATTCGTTAGTGACGAAACTTCGATACCCGTTCGTGACCATGATGACGGACAAGGACCAAAGTGAGAGTAAGGCATTAGCTCTTTTAGAACTTGTCGATTCACAGCTGTTTTCCAACATGGCGGCAAAAACGGGGAGAAACATGACTTTACCTGTTACGAATTTCAAAATGATTGCCATGGAGGTGAAGGAAATTGTGAGGAGGGTCCACGCCCAGGTTTGGAGGGGGTTAGATAGTTCCGAAAGGTGACGTATTCCCCCAAAAGGGAGGAACACGTGGCAACAGAGAGGCTAACATCTGTCCACATGACGTAATGCAGGTCGGGCGGGATGAAACTGATACTCTGAGATGAGGACGAAGTGAAATATTCCAAATCTGATGGATACATGAATTCTATGCGTTGTAAAGCGGAAAACTCAAAATATTCTTCACCCCGACTAATATTGATTCTGAGGTATGATTTCAAAATGAGGGAGAAGATCGTGTTCAGAAATAAGGTGCGAAATTCAACCAATGTTTCTCTATGAAGAAGAGTTATAAGATCTACCTCGAAATGGGAAGCAAATTTGAGATCCACCGCTAAATGATGTACACTTTTGTGGATTAGGTTATCCACCAAATTTTGTATGTGGCCAGGATTGAAATCTAACCTTGATACTGCCCAGTTTGGGAAACAAATTTTGCAAATGTGTACAATTGTTGTGGGTGATTTCGTCCTGAGAAATATGTGATTGACGTGATATTTCTTAAAATATAGGTGATTTTTGAAAACTAATTTTGCCACGTGGTCAATTAGTCCGTCGTCCGAGTTGGGTAAGTACATTAGAACGAGGCAAGTTGAGAAATATGTTCGGTAAATGTCGACTTGCTGTATGCTTGCTCCTGAGAGTAAATTTGAGTCAATATAATTTAGGAAATTGTCCACGATTCTGAAATAATTTTGGGATCCTGCCCCCAAAATTGTGAGAAGTTTCCATTTTAAAGGCGTTTTGGTGAGAAAGGGTTGAAAATCGGGTAGAATTTGGGAGTAAAGTTTTGCATAAGAATCGTTTTCCGGGTGACGTGAATTGTTGAAGACTTTCTCGGGATATGTGAGTTGAACGGGGTGGCGGATGAGGGCAATGTTATCGAGGTCAAGGTTATCGGTGTGGGGCGAGCTGATGATGCAAATTAGAATGTGACACTTTTCGAACAAGTTTAAATCTTGGTGAAAGTCTGAAAGGCAGAAAGTGGCAAAATTGGAAATTATTATTAGGAAGAACTTTAATGGGGAAGAATTTAGTCGCCTTTTCATTTTTGGAACTGAATTTTTGTCCAATTTTGTAAACAATTTAAGGGGGACCCCGGTCTGGTTTTTAGTTGAGAAAGTAAGTACCTCAAATAATTGTTTATGTATGTAGCCTGCCAATAAATTGTATGCAAGGATAGTACAATATTAGATAACTCCATACAAATATATGTAATATTGTGTATTTACAAATACATGTATGTATACATAATTATTCCACGAATTAAGTGTTTATGGACAGTATCTTCTGAAGTATATACTTCCAAAAATATTTTTTCCTATTGTCCAGTTACATAATAACGAGTTTGTTTATCATAGTTTCAATTGTATTGGTTAAGAACGTATTTATGTGTCTGTAAATACGCAATTCATGAAATTGATTCACCTGGCAAGTGCAAAATTTGCAAGTTGTTACTGTTACATACAAATTTAGTAGTGAGTCTATTTATGTATTTAGTAATGAATCCAATTTCCACTTCCTAAACAATTGTATGCACTTATAGAATAACTATTGTAAAACTTCAGCACCACATAAATACATACGTAAAAATAATTAAATAATGTTGACTTTTTGAAAAGTATTTAAATGCACTCTGGATTTCTATTAAGTAAATAAACTATATTAAATCAAGAGTAAGCTCTTCCCTTGATCAAGTTAATTTTACTCTGGATTTATTATACTTACAAAACTTAATATGGAATTTGGAATTCATTTACTTTTCAAAAGGTAACATTATTCTTAAATATGTACAGATTATCGATTTCCGGAATATTTTCAATAAAAGGTTTGACATGACAATTAACTATAAAGGTCTGATTTTTATGGCAGGCTGAAACTCATAAAATGACTACTGTCTGTTTGTAATATGCACTATTTCTGAAAATTTCGAAAATTTTGCTGCCATGTAGGAGCATATTTGCATACATTATTAGCAACCAAATTTTCGAAAACAGTGCATACTTAAAAAGAAATCCACGACACACTTAAGGAATAATTGTTAGGCATAAATTTGTATTTATTTATATTTTATTGGTAATAATTTCAATAAGACGTTATCGTTATTTACTCTATTTAACAAATTCTGCCACTGTTTTAATTTCTGTCATTTTCTTCTTGTCCATGTGCATTCGGAATGTGAAGAAGTAAACGGCTTCTACCAGACTGATGATACTGAACCCCATACACAAGCTCATTACGCCTCCTGAAATGAAAATAATTTAAAAATTAATAGTTTTTATTTTTCCTAAATATGTAAATATGATACGAAAAACAGGAGAAACCAGACCAAGTGCAGAGACGAAATCTTCCTAATTAATAAAGATAAATTATAAATTCTGTTATTTAAATATTTGCATTACTATTATGCTGTTAAAATATGAAGTAAATTCATACCCATGTGAATAGTTCGTCACTATTTTAAATAAACAATTTTAATCCCGTGTTAAATTACAGGAAACCTGTCACCTATTTAATTTCTTACCGTTTATACTGCATGATTGAAGACTCCCTAAAGAAAATGCGGAGTACACTGATGCTACCACTACAATAAGTTGTAAATTCAATGTATTAATTATTTATTATATTAATTAATCACAATTTAAAATACGTAATTAACTTATCTGTACTTACCTGACATAGCTGATATCATTCAAATGTGTCAGGCCACCTTCAACAATCGCTTCCCTCAACATTTTAGTCTGATTGGCTAAAGGTTGGTTGGGAAAGTCGGCTGCAAATACATACATAAATTAATAATCTCTGATCTATGTGACCCATTACCAATGAAGTATTTTTGCCTTCTACCAACCCGCAGTTACAAAGACATTGTAGAACGTTTCATTGCAAGATGGTAAACAAAATTGCGCACAGGATTTGTCCTGTTCTCTGTCCTTCTTCGATTTAAAGTTGAACATTGTACTTTCTAAAAAAAAGAAATATGTAAATTTTGCTGTAACTAATCGCTGCATGTGTGTATGTATGTTGTACCTGGGCTAAGCTCAAATGCTGCAGTTGGCAAATTTTTCTTCTGGATGGCGTCTTAAAAACAAAAACGAGATTTATGTAAATGGACGTAACCAAAAGTAATAAATTTCTGAAAATTTTCTTGTGTACCTAAAGCTTTTTTGACACATTCTTGAAACTTTTTTAGCGTGCAGACACTATAATTTCCTGCATGTAAATTTTTTTAATTAATTAAGAATTAATCCATGTTAGCTATGAATTAATCCCTATTTATAAGGCAAACCTGGTGAAAAGTATGTGACACATTGACATTCCTGAAAAACAAATTCTGTCTCACACTCCACAATGCAGGCAGATCTGGAATACTCCTTGTAAAATTTTAGAGGAAATTCATCCTAGACAGATAATTATAAATAGTTAAATATTTCAGATTTCGAATGTAAAAAATGCAAATCTGTAAAAACTCACTGGGAAAAAGCAGCCTCTCGTTTTAGCAGAGAAACCGCGGAGTACATCGCCAGAATAAGTGTCAACTGCGGTCACACCGATTTGCGTTTCCAGTCCGGGACCCACGATGTAACCACGTTCTGCAACGGCAGGGAAATCGTCGGCATTGTGGACGAATACCTGGCATGTAAAATTTCAATACCATTTATTTCTGTGTACATGTAGATTTTGTAGCTGTGTAATGTGCAAAATATGTTGAAAACAATTAAATAATTAGTATTTAACTAAATAAATATGTACCCTTAATCCTTTAAAGGAGTCAGTTGGAATAGAGTCGCATCCTACAAAAAGAAACGTGGTGTAATTATGTGTCTTCAATTTTGTATGAATCTTCCATAATTTAAAGCTATTTAAATACGTATTAACCTCTTCCACATTTTATATTATGACGTACTTAATTATACATACTTTGTTAGAAGTTTAGGAACGCATTTGCCCCATACATACATACGCAAGTCATTTTGCAGTTTTGGATTTCCACGGAAAGTTACGAAACTTGTTTGGTCATCGATTCGGCAAAATAGGCGACAATTCGCGTTCGCCAACTTGGGGTTTTTGCACATTTTTTTGCACTTACATAGTACCCAAAATAAATATAAAACGGGACTAACTTAGCGAATCAATCATCAACTGTAACCCCCTCGATCTTCCCGCACCCGCAACTTTAAGGGGGAATTGTTCCGCGAAGAAATTAAAAGTCTGGGTCGCCCCGCCCGATCCGATCGGCTTCGATGAGGATGCATTCGTCTTAATTCTGTTCCTTTCCCGACACTTCCCACTGTCCCGGCATCTCTGCAAGTATTGGCAAATTCCTGGGAAAAGGTCGTCATCATAGATTCGAGCACAGTTAAAATTGTCCGCCGTAGTTGACCCGGTTTCCGTGTCGTCCATCCCGTCGCCTTTGCCCTTATTTCCGCCGCCGCTACTTCCACCACCACCGCCAGAATTTTTGCTTCGAAACGTGTCCGTATATTCCCACACGGCACGTTGTAGGTATTCGTACTCCTTTTCTTGAATCATGACTTCTAGGTCGTGTTTCCTGTTTTTGGGGGGAGAGAAAGTCGAAAATTCAAAATATAGCGAAAGGAAATACATATATGTGTATGTAAATGAAATATGTTAAAAAACAGAAGTCGGATTTTTGAAGGTCGTTTCCCGTTTTAAGAGAGAAAGTAGAGAGAGAGAAAACTGGTGAAATGCAAAAATCGGATTTCTCGGGTTTTGAGATGAGGAGAAAGTAGTGAAAATGAAAGTATGCAGGTGAAATATAAAATAAATCGTTTTTTTAGGTCGTGTTTCCCGTTTGTAGTCAAAGTGAAAGTGGGTGAACTCCAAAAAAATCCGGATATTTGGAGGTCGTGTTTCCTGTTTGGGAAGAAAACAGTGAAGTGAAATGAGGACAAAACAAAAAATTCATATTTTTGGAGGTCAGGTGTTTCGTTATGGAGAAAGTAGTAAAAGTGAAAGTAGGTGACACACATATTTACAAAAAAAACTGCCCACTTACGAATCCTTTCTTTGTTTCTTTGTCTCAACAGCGTTAAAAGTGCAGCAATACCCGCTGTCAGTTAGCACCTGGTGGGTCATCGTAAAATAAAATATTCATGTTCCCGAAAAAACAGGTCAAGGTATGTATGTATGTACACGCTTTTCTTTCACTTTCACTTTCACTTTCACTTACCAGACGAAACATTTGCGTGCATTGGGCAGGTGCATTGTTCCATCGGCAACTTAACAAGTAGTCGTCACATTTGGGTGCCACGAGTCTCAAGTATTTTAAGGCAGTTTCCGGTTTTACGAAATTCTTGTCCACGTTGATGTGATCATTGTTTCTCGCGTCGGGGTCGACCAGGACGGAAATTATGGTACGCATTTGACCCAGAGTGAAACTGAAGTATGTATGTAATTAACAAAATTTATGCTGCTTTGATTAATTACTAGTTAAGGTTTAAAATGTATTTCAAATATATTTCATACTTGTAGCGACACCCCTGAATGATTAGTTTTTCAGTGGCGGCTTTATTTACAGTGCAAATCTATAAAACAGTGGGAGTATTCGTTATGAGTTCGCATCCTTAAAATACTAGCCAAAAAACCAAAGTTCGAAAGTTTGCGAAAAAATTTGGCTTGAAAATTCATTTGCGAAATTGAGCGTGTCTTAGGCTAGTATTTAGTTAGCACTTTTTTTTTAAAAATCACGTTGCGATGCGAACATGTAAACTCGTAATGAATATCCTTAATGTCATTTTAGACGTTTGTTTTTTATCCCTTATTGTTAAATTTGCTTACAGTAACTGCAGGGAAAATGATGCTGGAAACTGGATGATTAGTCGTAGCGACGGACGTAATGATAGGACTGCGCTCCCATTTCGTCCAAATTTTCGACATTAGATATCCAGCAGCCCCAAGACCGAAGAGACACCAGGCCAGCCAGAAAATCCTGGTTGAAAAAAGTGGTACATCATTTGCGAGGTTAAAATCGTGCCTGGATTTGTGAACGTAAGTAACTTGGCAAATTTCAAAAAGTATTCCAAATAGTTTGATACAGTTATGTATTTGGCAAGGTGAATTTGCGAAATAATCCTTCGCATAAAAATTTGCGAGTAAAATTTGCGAAAGAAATTCTACTGTTTTTTGTAAGCCAGCGTTTAGCGAAAGTTCGTAAAGCCTAGTATATGATTCTGATTCAATTCGCGAGACATGCCAAACTTATCGTAAGAACCAGGCACAATTTATATATTCATTAAATTAGCATATTTAGAATTATAATCACTCAACTGTTCCGGTTTACTTCTTTTCCTCTCAGAAAGATATTTCCATCCGTGTAGCGTGGTAACGGCGCAATATTCTCTGAACTGATTTCCACAAGTGACATCATCTCGCATATCGTGATGATGATGGTCGGCGTGAGGATCAGCAATTTCTGCTTGACGATTTAGCGCTTCTAAATTCTTGGTACTTTTCGTCCTCTTAAATTTCAGCCGACCTGTGACCCTCGCTCGGGAAAATGTTTCCAACCAGTGCTTCTTACGGGCCAGATATGCCTCCACTTTTAAGGCTGAACTGTTCTTCCGCTTCTAAATGTTTTTAAAATTCTGAGAATAAATAAAGTTTCTTAATTGAACAATATTTTTTCACCTACGAATGGCAACGGTTTATTTACCAGGGAAAATAGCTTTTTGCAAATAAAAAAAAACATTCGTTGTGTTCAAAAAGTATTATTCCGCAAATTCCGTACACTCTTAGAAAAATCAATACCAGATCAATACCACGCGGTATTCATATGTGACTCTACCGTTTTGGTATTGATTTAATACCAAGCGGTATTATTTTGGATTTATACCGTTACGGTATAAAAACGTCACTTGCGGTATTGATTTTTGTTCGTGGTAGTATTGTTTATTAATACCGAAGGGTAGCAACCTAAGACACAGCGGTATTAAAACACTTAATACGGTATTGATGATTGATACCATGCAGTATGAAAAATAACGGTTTAGTACTGGTTGGTATTGATTTTAACGTTATTTATTTGATAAAATTACAAATCAGCCAATTATAAATGACAAATATTTACAAAAAATGGAAATCAACTGGATGGAATATAATGGAATAACTTAATTATGAAACTGGCTCACAAACAATAATGTGGAAGAGTTGAGCTGACTGGTTCTAAACGCACAAGCAATTTAAACAATAAATTGTGTAAATAATTCACACTTTGAGGCAGTTATTTTTATATATTTTTCAATTTAAAGTTATCTTACTCCTAATTCGATAGGAAATATCCAACTGAAATAAGCGATAAGCAAAATGTCAATTACCCAACGGGCAAAGGCATAGGAATTCCCTACGATTTCGAGATAAAAAAGCCTCTCGATTCTAAGCGAGGGTAGCTCGAAAAGATCTCGAATTTACAGTTAAATGTCCAGCGAGACCTAAGGAAATCCTCTCGATTATTCGGAGATATTGGCGACACGATTTCCAGCATTAATCGACGAGATTTCGTATTTGCCTGAATATCGAATTCCTCTCGAATTTTATGCGATTTCATTGGGATTAAAAAAGTAGCATACAAAATACATTGCATTGTTTGTGTCTTAATTTATTTTACAACAAATAACTACCAATACAATTTGTATCAAAAAATTAATAAGTTAATGATATAATTTATAATTTTATCTTCACTCAGGATTGCCAGGTTGAGCAGCTACATTTCTAAATAATAATAAAATAGTCCATACATTATACAACGATTCAATTTGATATATATTCATAGAAATATATATATTAATTTAATGTTTCTGTACTTACCTCCTTTGTCTAACTCGATCATGGGCTTGCTTCAAAACAGTCGGAAGCACTTCATAATACTTAATCAAGGTTGCTTCTCCAGATGTCCGTGGATTTCTCATCAGTGCATCTAATAATTAATTAAGCAATTCACATAATTAGACGCGCTCATAATTAGCTTTAAATGACCCCGCTCGATAAAAAATTCATACGAAAGGGTCTGATTAATGAACTCAAACCATAATACGATATTTTTATTTTCACTTACCAAAAATCGAATTCACAAGAAGAGCATGATCGGCCAGCGACAATTTTCCCCGCTTCCCTTTGTGACTATAGAGTGAACAAAGTTCATCCGTCATTAAAAAGGACATCATCCCTTTAACGGCTTCTAACAAAGTTGCACCCCCGCAATCTTTCAGCTTACGAATCTATAAAATATACAGCAATTAAAACATCTTTAAACAAAAACATATTCATGGTCTAATTACATACCAATGCATTTTTGGCAGCCTCATCATTTTTTAATTGCTCATCCAGTGACGAAAGAGCTGCAGAATCCCGAAGTGGAAATAATCCGAAAGGAAAGGAGAAAGTTTGCTGACTGGAAGCGAGCGGTTGATTATACTGATTATTCTTTAAAATCTGCACAATTTCATCCAGTTGATCTTGTTGGCGATCGAGTACAATAGTTATTCTTTCTATTTTCTTTAGAATTTCAGGGAGTAATCCTAAAAATTATTGTTTTGTTTTTAAATTAATTAATGTTAAAATATTGCATTTGTGAATAAATGATCTGCATTCACAAATAAATATAAAAATAATCCCTTTATTATCTTGTGTACCTTGATCGCCAACGGTTCTATTCATTTCTTCTACCCTTTGCGGGGGAGCCTGGCTCATTGCATTATTCAGGATTATTTCGCCACGCTCCATTCCTCCAAAGTCGTCGCCCTCATTTCCTGCAAAGTGGTCCCCCTCTTGATTCCTTCCCGTATCGACACCAGCAGCCAGCAACTCTTGAATTGTGTAAATAGTTTGAGAAGTTGAAGCCATTTCTTCAATTTGATGTCGCGGAGGGTTTGGTAGCTGAGTAACGGGTCCAACATTCTTCTTCACGACACGGCGTTTGGCGCTGGATAAATCAGATGTTCCCTCTGCAACTTTGGACTCCTGTCTAGCTTCTTGCAAAGTCCCTTAATATTAAAAAAATATATATATATATATGTAAATAAATGTAAAGAATACATAATAAATCATTTGTAGGTTTTTAAACTCGATCTTATTGTTTAAGGAACAACAAATTATTGTTCAAGATCTCACCAAATTAAAGTTATCGTGCAACTGCTAAATTGTGAGTACAATATACTAGTTATTGACTTCATGGAAATTACTTAATTTTTTCACTCACCATATTGTCCAAGAACTCTTCCTTGATATTGTGTCCAGTCTTCCTTGGGCGATTCACAACGTTTGATTGCTTTTTTTAAAACTTTATGTCCATAATTGTTCGGCCATAAAATGGAACCATTAGATATCCATGAAACTGGAATGGCCTCCACAGTCTCTATGTCTTGATTATCTTTACACTCTTTAAATACGACGACGGCGTATTTTTGCTCCATTTTTTATTCGTTGAAATTATGGAGTTGAGGAATAACGATAATTTTATTTTTTCGTTTTAAAGCCACACACTTAAATTGAACATCACTTATGTTAAAAGTATTTATGGGACTAGTAGCACTATCAACTTCAAAAATGTTAACAATCGATGAATTACACGGATACTCAAAGAAATTGTTTTTTGAAGTAAAAACACGTCCAATTACGTTCCCATCAGTTGCATTTTTAACGAAGTGACTAACTTCTACTACTTCACCGGTTTTAAGCAAAATGATATTATCAGGGGATTTATTACTAATTATAGAGTCCCTAAATACTATTTTTTTAAATGCGCAAGAATTATTTTTTTTAGCATTACTAAAAGTCACTGAATTTTTAGTTGCAGTATGCGGAAGCATGCTCACCTCGTTTTTCTGTTGCTCAATGATGCGGCGGTATACTTGTTGGAGGGGAAGATGAGACCCTTTAATTAAATTTTTAATTTTTCCCAAAAAGTTTTCAAATGGAAATGCACTGAAGGAATTTAAGTCCCCATGTTTTCGTACATCATTGGTCAAATGTATTAGGCCGTGTACATTGTATGATAGATTTTCTTTTCCATATAATTTTTTAAATTGTTCCACGAAATAAAGTAATAAATCTTCAGCGTATTTTAAATTCGGTTCGGTTTGATTAGTGATTGATAACAACCTAACAGCAATTGATAGCACCAAAAAATGTCTATAATATTCTTCACTAATTATTCCTTTTAAGACGATCGGTCCCGTGTAGAGAAGAAACAGGCGGAATTCCGTAGCTTTCCATCTGTCAACTTCAGAGAGAGGGCGACTTTTTCTCACAAAATCACTTGTCACACAAGGTCGACACTTTTCAAGACGAAGTGATATTTTGTCAATTGATTTTTTATTTAGTCTGTAGCTTTTTCGTTTTCCATGTACAAAAATTTTTAGAATTTTTTTTGTCACTCCTAAGCATACAAGATGCATGAACTCGTATGGGATGTCTCCAACTAGATCGAGGGGTAAATTTTCAATCACTGTTCTATAATTATGATGAGGGGGTTGTTGATTAGCACGAAATGAATGATTTGTCCTCAATTCACTGTTCGTTTTTAAATATACTACACGATTCTCTTTATATTTTCCTTTAACGATGCATTTTCCACAACCGTAGTATCCAGTGTGACCCTTGATTCCAGTGACAAATGCACGAGCAGGGGCGTCACATACTATGCTTGACAGTTTAAACTCATATTTTACATTATTAATAACTACACCGTTTTCGATTAAAGCTTTTGTTTCTTGAACAAATTTTTGCAGGTAGTTATCTACGTCACTTGGCTTTTCATTCCCAAAGTAAAGTCCAATAATAAACACTTTTTTCGTTTCAATTACACGTCCTAAAATTGGCCAAAACTGTTTAGATGAACTTTTAAATAGTGGGAGTCCATCAATATTTATTTGAATTTTGATTACTTTAGGGTTTGGTCGAAGTAATTTAATTGACTGCTCAATTATACTTTTATAACCAAAGTGAATATATTGTCCCCCACCGCACTCTTCAACCAGTGATGTTGTCGGGGTTGCTAGTAAAGTTCTGCCATCGACAGGTAATTTTGGTAGGCTTGGTTGTTTATTTAAAATTGTCAGTAATCCATTAAATGCCGATCTTGTTATTTTATTATTCACACCCCATTCTCTTAAATCTTGCTCTAAATTATATGGCACTGAAGCAAATTGGTCTGTACTTAAATTTGTAAACTCATTCACCGACTCAATTACACTATTTTCTAAATTGTCTTCGTTAAAATTGATTTCAATTGTGTTCTGATTTTCGGACTGGGGATTTATTTGTGAACTGCTAAAATTAACTATATCAGTTTGAAAATGTGAAATATTATCTGTTACATTGTTATACATAAATTTGGCTACATTAGCGCTGATTTTCCTAAACTGTGACCTTTTACAAAGACGGAACGTTGGAGTTTTACTTACTCGTCCCATTGTCACAATGGTAGTAATAATATATCAGCTGGATCTGGATATATTTAATTAGTCCTTTTTGTATTCGCTAAAAATTCGCTACGACTTCGAGTTACCATCTTAACAATACTTGTAGATTCGCAGGGATATCGAGAGTAATTCTGACACTAATCGTCCATAATATGTTACATGCTGATTTGCAATTCTCGAATTTTTCTCGAAATCGTATCGATTTCGCACAGAGTGTCACGACGTTTTGTTATGTCTGTTAGTAGCTCAAATATCCCATGGAATTCGATAAGGAAATCTTGTGGATTTCTGAGCGATGTAGACCTCGCTTATATTTCGAGATAATCGTGGGGATTTCGATCAGCGAGGATATCTCGACTTGCCCGTTGGGTAGTTGAAATATTTTAGAATATCTACACATGTCTAATTTAATTTCAATAGTCATTCTGATTTGTAAATGTATTCACCAACCTAAAATTATCCGGAATCCTATATGCACGACCGGAACTCGGAATTGGCTAAGTTGATGATCTCGCTAAATATAAAACAATTTAATTAATACAAAGCAGACACTATGACGAAATTGGTGGTTTAAAAATCCTTCCGATTAATATAATACGTAGCAAAAGATAAAACGAAAAGAAAAAATAAATTTAAGCTTACCCTTTAATAAGAACGTGTCAAATTTTCCAGCGGAATAGTCAATTTCTTCCCCTCAAATAATTCCCTAGCCGAAATAATTTTGAAGCACTTATTTTTAAAAAGAGAACGATTTGCAACTGCAAGTGTGAGGTGATTACATTGCAAATCTCGCGCACAAATCTATACCGGACTGATTTGAGACTGGGTAAACGTGGTATAAAATCTGTACCAGCCAGTATTGATGTTTTACCAACTCGGTATTACAAGTTAATACTCTCCACGTACAAGCTCGTGGTATTGATTTTTCGCAAAATTTTAATACCCATTCGTGATTGCGTGATTATACCAGCACGACGGTATTAAAATTTTTCAGAGATCAATACCCAGTTTCTAAGAGTGTAGTATTATTTTAGATTGATTTTATTTTCATGTGATACAGCCACCTGGGCAAATGCTTTAAAAAATTTGCAAAGAGCACAAAAAATTGTGGCGTTAGGTGATTCGCAAAATCTGCAAATCTGCACAAACTTTCTGGTGTCCTATTTTGATTTAGTTGCCATGGATAATCTTTAATTTCTGTGGCTTTTATCGTTTTTCATGGAGAGCACGAGTATGGAAATAAATAAAACCATACAAATTTTTTAGTAAATTTAAAAAAGAAAAATCACATGTTTCAATTTTTCAAAGTTTTCCAAAGTTACATTTTTGCACTAAATTTGTGAATGTTGCCGTGAATACACCTATTACTTCAACATATTTATATACTTACGCCTCGTTGCTGTTCTTGATCCACTGCCCACGGCGAGCTTGCGGCTTTTCTTGCCCATGGGGACGGGGGATTTCCGGTGTAATCCCCCGGAGGAATGTACAGATCTGAAATGGTGGCAGGTTGGTCGTCACGATGTAAATGAATCAAGGGTCGTCCATAATTTGGCTGTGCTCCTTCGCCTTCAGAGTTGTAGTATTCGGCTAAATGATCTCTCCTACGTCGGAGACGATTAGCCAACAATTCCTTAAACCGGTTGACATACGGGGCTAATTTTATTGCGTCCATTGTGGGCTTCTTTGTAGATCGTAAGATTAGAGTTAAACGAAGATAAGTGAACAGAAGTCTGACCGACATAACGCAACGGGACAAAAGAGCGACGGGTTTTTATCAGATTGGAGCTTTATTAATATTTAAGTGATGAGAAAATGATGGACACTAACTAAGCGGAAGTCGTCTCGTGTGCATGTTTGTCTCGCGATAGGACAAGGTACAAGTTTGACGTGAACCTGAGACATGCATCATTGTATGAAGACTTTCACTGCATATTTAGGTTGTGAACCATTTACATACATGACTAAATTGTGTCAGGAATTAGGGATGGATAATAAAAAAAATGTGTAAGCTACCTATTTACATATGTACATATTTACATATGTACATATTTACATAAATATGCACATTGTTATGGTTTACATAACAGATGTAGACGACATACATAGATTTTGAATGTATTATAATTAAGGAAATGTATGGACATTAAATTGAAAAAAGTATTCATAGGTAATCATTTATGTTTCCACTTGGTTTTGAAGGCGACAACTTTTGCACGAACAACTACTATATATATATATGTATATCGTGATAAAAAATCACATTTTCTCCTATTTAGTCTTATCTTAGGCACCAATTATTTAAATGAATTTACATATGTACTATTGGCTCCAAATGAAGACGTCATCCTCTTAATTCCAGGTACCAAATGCTGCGAAAGACTTCGCATGGAAATAGCAATTTCTTTACGAAAGTCGCACATGAGAAATATCGCTAACCCCAAAATTATCAAGACACTCCACAAGATAAAAACAGTTTGAATACTTCCGCTCATATTGACCGATTCGAAACCTTGTTTAACGTCACGAGTCCTATTTTTCGTAAACTCGATCCTCCGTTTGTCCACCCTGGTTGCCATGATTTTCTGAAATCTCTGAAATATCCCAGATTCCAGGGTTTTCATCAAGGTATCAGCCAGCCTTGACCGCCTCCGGGATTCGAAGGCCCATACTTTCATATAATTTGTCGTTATTGTATCTTTGCCTTTTCGAAAGTGGAGAAATTTATAAAATTTGGTTAAGCGATTGAATAATTTATCAGTGTTTTCTTCGGTATCGACATATGCAAATTTTCGGGAACATTCCGTCATCCTACTTTCCGTCCAGTCCTCCCAGACATCTGGAGATGGTGGATTCAATTGGAAATCCTGATCCCATGTTAAATTTGTGTCATCTTCAGGCCAGAATATTCGTTGTGGGATGATCATATTAAGCGATAATAGGCTGCAAGTTACAAAAATGGAGGTATTCACGTCAATTTTGTAAACGTCACTTTACATCACATCTATCTTCGCAATTTTGCAATATTTGCGGAAAATTTGTGATGGTTAAAAATTGAATTTTTCGTGTTTTTCGTCAAAAAACTCTAAATTTGGAAACTCGTTGGAAATTTTAATTGGTTTCTATCAGGTGTAATTATGAAATCAACATCGTACCGAAGGGAAATGTTACTTCAAAATCATTTGTCCGTAAGAGGTTAATGGATAAAAATAGTTAAATTCTGACATAATTCTGTCCTATAATTTTGTGCTGCGAATACATTTCAACACCCTCAAAGACCCGGTGCTAATCGTGGTGCATATTCATATATGACTTTTAGCAAATGGTGATAAGGTTTTTCATCGCATGGTTATAAATCTTGCCCGCATGGTGACAAATTGTCAGGTGATAATTTTATCGCCTTTAGGTGAGAAACGCTATAAATATTTATATGCGTACCGTTCGGTGACGATTAACACGAGGTTATTAAGTAAGAGTGCAGTGAGTATTTAGAAACATTATACATACCTAACTCTATCCAAATTTCTTGGCGTCCAGGTATTCTTATTATTAGGATTTAATTTATATTCCCACATGTTGCTCCAGGAAACCATGTTTGCAACGCCAACCATATACTTGCCAAAGTGTCCAATCCGGCGAATAGGAGTAGAAGCACAAATAGAACATTACATCCTGTGTTGCAAGGGACGATAACATATATTGTTCCTGATAGATTTGCAAATTTTTAGTTAAATTTAACACGTTGTCCTCCTTTGCGAACTCTGATTCTATCCAAGGTTGCTCTTCTCGGGGGGGAATTTGATTCTAAAAATTAGTATAGCCCAAGAAATGTTATGAAATGGACGCACTTCTTACACTTTTAAAATCCGTACTGGTGTTGACTTTCACTTGCTATCGTACTGGTGACATATTATTTATGCTGGGTTCTATTTAACTGATCATAACTTAATATTTTCGCTAATAGAATGAATGTTTTTTTTTATCCCGGGTTTTTAGGGTATCGGGTATTTTCGAGTTCTGGTGGGTTTTGGGGTCCGCAGGTTGTCGGGGTAGTCGGGGTTTTTAAATTTAATAAAGTATGATAGCCGGGAATTATTAACAATTCCAAACTTAATTGGTTATCAAACTTAAATTAATTAACAGCTATCTTTCGAAATTGCTGAAATAGGAGATTGTTTTCAAAACCTAATATGTGAGACACAGACTCAAATTACCCGAAAACCCGGACTACCCCGAATTCCCCTACTACCCCTACTACCCTGAAACCCCCGACTACCCTGAACACCCTGAATACCCCGAATACCCTGAAAATCCCGACTATACCGACTACCCCTACCACCTGAAACCCCCAGGTAAAACCCCTGGGTATTGGTTTTCAATAGCAAAACCCCGGAGGTTTCCTTACCCTGCATTTGAGGCTTAACAGGATTTACCCTCTGTATATATGTTACCCTTCAATGATACATAATTACTGAAGCGATGGAATTGCATAGTACATCCGTGATAACAATCGTATCATAAAATTGTTGAGAGTGTACTTACCACGATATGTCGTTTTCTGACATCGAACGCCATGAAGAACCAGCTCGGACAATTTTTCCAAGAAACACACACCGGCGTTAGTAAGTCGTCAAACGTTTCCGCCATTTTGACCGGAAGCGGTGACGTAATCCGAATAATTGCCAGACTGAGGTAGCAATTAGTGAATATTATCGACATCAACATCCACGTCCCGATCACCCATTTCAACTTGACCAAGTGTTTCGGAATGTTGACCGATTCCTCGAGTAGGGATGCCACCAAGAGTAACACAATGAGGGTAAAATCTTCCCTAACTTGGGTAACATTCATACCTGTTCAAAAAATCTGTCTTCATTCAAAATTCGTTTAATTCAAAAATTGGAAACAATAAATTCATTCATTCATTTCTAATTTGAAAATAAGCATTATTTATGTTCATTCATTCAAACTTGCCTTAATACGTACATGGATTTCCCAATATAAGTACCTCACGTTTTAAGCATAAGGCGAAAAATGAATAATGAATAAAATCATTCATTCATTCATTCTTCATGAATATGAAATGAAAAAATATTTATTCAATGCTCATTCGTTCAAAAGAATGAAACTATTATTCCTTCATTATTCATGAATTTCTTGAATGAACAAATTCTTCATTCTCAATTGAATAAATGAATGTGAACAATGATGTAAATTACTTGTTTCCCATAGCAGAAAGACGGTGAAAAATGCTAGCATGAAAAGTAACCATGCCATTGTTCCGATCCATAAATTAGTCTGAAATGGGGCAGTGTAAGGCTCAAAACTAAATTGGGGTTGGGCCCAGCACGATAAAAATGTGAAGGTGGGATACTCCATGAAAATGACGTCGTTCGGGAGAACACCAATCCAACTGGGATCGGGAAAAAGGTTCTCGACCTGAATGAATATGAATAACCCGGGCTGGGAGTATGTAAGCAGGGACGAATTGCTGTAACAGAGCAGAAGGGCTAACACGTATTCCCTAAAGGGAATCTGCGGAGGGTGACGCGAAATGAAGGCATCTTCACAGAATTGAGGGGTGAGATGAGATTTTATTGTGACATGAAGTTTGACGTTCCTCACCATGATTTTTGTGATGAGATATCTGTGACAAAAATATTTAGCGTTGGATTAGGTGACTCATCGCCTGTGACGTCACAGGTCTAAAATTCTGAACATTTTTCGCATTTCTCCGTAGACCAGGTCAGTACCAATTCAGATTCAGATTCATTTAAATGAATCTGACGGAATTTAAAAATAAATTCCCAGAACGGAAAAATTCGCAAAAATGTTCAGAATTTTAAACCTGCAACGTAACAGGCGACGAGTCACCTAATCCAACGTTAATTTAAATCATCTCTGGCGGAAAGTGTACATATTTATGTATACATAAATATGTACACTTTCCGCATACATGCATACATGCATTTAATCGTTGTACGGAAAACATATTCAAACAAAATAGCTAGAGAATTCTATTTTACAGACACCTTTTTCTCATTTTTCGAAAATTCTAATTCCTTCAGGTAGAAAGTCCGATGCCTAAAGTTTCAAATCGATTTCTTATAAACATTTCCGACCGGTGGGATAAAAGTCTTGCGTGAGAGGTCGATTTATGCCACATGTGAGGAAACGGAACAATCAGCATTTCATTTTATGTAGTTCGATATAATTTATGAATGTTTCCCTAATACCTGAATACTTAGGTCATTTCATTACTTTAACGTCTAGTTTTTGAAGCAAAATTGATGTATGGATCAGATGGCCACTTTTTTTACTACGAGGTCGTACTAGGTATTTTTTGTCTGCGACAAATTTGACCGATCGAGACCAAAAAAAAGTTGGGCATGAAGACCTTTCAAATGTTGCTCCTAGTTACCTACCTGAAGTATTCCGTCGTGGAAAGGATAGTTGAGAGCAGACATGATATCTTTGTTGATTGACAGTTTATCCTTAAGCTCATAAACACACCCTCATCACCGCGGCAGGACTGACAAACGAGGTGTAATTTTTGATGCTCCGAATCTTCTCCGACAAATCGCACAACCATCCCGTTTCTTACCCTGTGCTGAAAAATGTATGTCAATCTGATAGACTCCAGGTCAGGCTTGGTTATTGCTGACAAAAAGTACTGAATTGTAAATGGTGCGCTTGCCGAGTTCCAGAGAGTTTTCGCATTCTACATATACGTTTATAGAGAGCAAATTTATGTATAATGTCCTTTTGTATTAGGTATTTATTTGCTCCGATTTAATGCCAATAACAGCATGTATTTAGAAATACATCTGTGGATTTTCTTTATGTTTACAGTTTTTGAAAATTGGTATTAAATCATTACTGACAACTAGTCAGTGACTAGACTACGCATTAATTCTGAAACCACCTAAGTGCAATCTCTTCTTAATTCTAAAACAAACTAAGAGCACTCGCTTCTTAATTTTAAAACCAGCTTAGTGCACAATAAGAACGGGAAAAAAGACATAACTGCAATACCAAAATTATACAGAGTTATCTAATTACTTGTCCAAAAATTTTAAATGTCACGCTACAATGGAAATGGAAATGTCCACAAATCTCCAGTATGTAGTTACGAGGATTTAGGATTGCGATTTTTGTTGATTGTTCAACTCTAATATCAAAATTGATGACAAAATTCCCAAAATATTGAATTTCAGAGGCAAATTTTTTCGCAACTAATGGAGATTTATGAATTTCTCCTATTGGGAAACTTTCCATTGTAGCCTGACATTTAAACCACCCTGTGTGTACAGTCACATGTAGATTGTGCATGTGACTGTACCAGATTTTTAACCGTATTGTACATAAGTACTGTCAAATTTGTATAGCCGGCCACCTCATTTGCATATTTATTTTGACGCATTTGCGAGAGGCAAGGAGTTTATTTTACCGAGTTTAACCGAAAATTTGCATAGTGAGATTTATTCAAATTAGGTAACACGCCTAACCATGAGGATAGTACATGTATCAATTAAATGCGAAATATTTGCTTACGGTATGTTCAATAACCAGGGTCCAACTGCTAGCAAGGAATGCCTCCATAATCAAACTGTAGGCATGAGTGTACCCATCGTTATTGGGCAGCCCTTTCTCGACCGCTTTATCGACATAGGTCACGGCAAAAGTGCAGATGTGACCGCTTGGTTTAACTTTTCTTAGCGCCATTTTAATTAGTGTGCCACGCTTGTGAGTTCTGCTAACCCAGGTCCAAGACTTCATTATTGTCAGGGTCAACTTGAGACTAATTTTTGAAAAGTCTAGCCCTTCGCTAAACGTATCAAATACAATTAAGAGATTACAAGGTGAGTTGAGGTTTCCGGCAATTTCTTCAATATCCTGCTTTGCCGTGAGTTGACTTGATAAACCGGGAGCGACGAGAGGGACCAGGAAATGTAGGAAGATAATAAGGACATTGAAAGGAAGACGATGCATGACGTAATTTTTTTTAATATGTTTGGTCGACTAAAAATAATATATTCGCACTTGTTCGTAATAGATGCGTTGGTAATGCGAACTCCAACCGTCGAGTTTTCACACGCCAAGTGAACAGAAAGCTGAAAACATTCCCAGTTTTTATATACAACATTACCAAAGCGTCATGACCTAATCATCATGAACCTTGAACTGAAGTTATTTGTATTTGTATACATAATTATATCTAAATGGATTGCTGAATACTAAATAATATGTAAATACATACTTATACTATATTTCGATTAATTCCGAACAGGATTGTGCATTTTTTGGATGAGGAAAGCGTTGCATATTTCTAAGTGAACTCTGCATTTGTCCGTCTTATTTGTGCATTTCTTCACCATTTATATAAAATTATGGTACTCGAAAGCGTTCGAAGTAGTGACCCTGGAATCCGTGCATCTAATTAAAACACATCCTTTTAAATTTTTAAATAAGATATATGTACTTATGTATGTATGTATCAAATCGATATAGGTCATAATTATATTTACGTAATATATATGTATTTACGTCTGGATACCGTTTCGGAGAAATTGTCTACACTGCTGAGACGTTATGGGTGAAGGTAGGTAATACATAAATGGTATTATGTAAAGATATGTAAATGGGTAACGAGCGAAATTAAAATAAATCCTTGGCGCAAATCGTCGAAAAGGAGATAGATAGCACGAAATCCAATTTTGACAACCTCATTTATTTTGTCAACCTCAACGTCAATTCAACTCATTTACATTCTCGATATGCAGATTTAATATAGCTAAATAAGTATGTACAAAGTATTTTCCACTCTGCTCGCCTAATTCATAAATATGTACATACTTGTGTGCTTACATATGTACATTGTCATGTATGTAAATACTTTGCTACAAATGAATATAATAATACGATATGTATGCACATATGTATTTAATATTTAAGTATGTATGATCCCATGCTTTTCATAATCTAATTTTCTAAAATTTTCCAAGTTTGGGGAATAATAAATACTATTTTTACAGGGATACATGATACATAGATACATGTATTCATGTATCACCGATTTCTTAGCTAAATAGAATATCGTGCTAACTTTCTAAATTCTAACCTACTTAAAACCATGCAAATATGTACATATGAAATAGATACGTGCATATAATGTTGAACACTTCAAAGCGACAAAGACAAAACAAGGAGTATGCAATTAATTTTAAATAGAAGCCTTTATTATTTCATATCTTCATATAATTTATGTATACAGGTCTTTTTTATGAAATGATTTGTCATGGAATTCATATATTTAAGAGAAAAAGTCAGGTCTCGAACAAAAAAAAGAATAATTGAATTAAAAGAAATAAATATGACTCAAATTCCTCTAACAGAGTCCAACTTTATAACAGCCGTCGGGTTCAGAGTCAGGGTCAGTGTCACCCTTTACGACCTGAAGGAGATATGGGCCGTAGTCCTCGACAAGCTCGGTACACTGGAAATCAGTGCAAAAATAATTAATGATCAAAATATCTGCACAAAATATTTGGAAAATTTGGCACGCTAAAGTTTACATAGCATAATTTAAGGTTTAGCTCACATTTTCCTTCAAATTTCGCAAATTTCCACAAAGTCGGGAAACCGTTTCGTCAATTTCGTTCCTCATGAAGGTCTCGTCTTTCTGGTCGACTTTCATGGTGAAATAGTCCTCCACTACTTGGCACAGTTGGCATTGCGATAATTCGAGCAAATCTCCTAAAAAAATAAAAAAAAAACGTTGCAAAATTTTTTTGCGAATAATTTATATATATAGCAAACCTGTCACTCCCACGAGACCGGGTGCTTTGCACAGCCTGAGCTCTTGGCAGACTTGTTGGGGGTCCATTTCCTGGACGAGATAACTGAGAATCAGGTCGCCGTACGTTTCGACGAAGGTAGTGCATTTCTTCGTCACCGTTTTGGGCAGGTGGGTGCAAATCTGTTCCAACTCGGCCTTGATTTCTTGCTGTTGAGGAAAATTTTAATTTTTATCAGTTAATTTTGCAACAATTTGAAATGACGAAGAGCTAAAATTTGCACACATCAAAAGCAAACTAAAATTAATGACACTTAACAATTGGGATTTTTATATTAATTTGCATTAATTATCTAGAATCTGCATTTTTTAGAATTATTGCAGTATAAAAAATTGCACATGGGAATTTACAAATGTTAAAATTGCAAGGAACTTTGCAAATTGAAATTTCTTTCAAATAATTTGTGCTTTGCGAAATTTCTTGCACTAATCTCATGGTGTGTATGAGAATTGCAACCTCAAGACTTATTACACACCTTTTCATCCATTAGAAAATATTCGCACAATTGGCAAAAATTTAGAAATATACATATTAAACTTGCAAATTTTAGTAACCGTCGTTCCTCACCTCGGTCGCATTGTCTTTAATCCTTGCCGCCAACGTGGTGATGACATACTCGCAAAGCACACACTTTGGATCGTCGCCTTTGTTATTGGTCACAATTGCGGGGCGTGGTTCTGCTGGGGGAGAGACTTTGCTGAAAAGGCAGAGGTGAAGGGCCGCACAGATCTCGTGACTGCTCCCCTCAATCAAAATCATCTCGATGACTTGGTCCCCATAATTCTTCATGAAGGACATGCACTCATCCGTGTACTTCTTAGGAAGTGCGTGACACACTTTTGCGGTTGCGGACTCGATGGATTCCTGAAAATTTAGGGATTAATTAGTACGTGGTTTTAAAAAATTCAAAAATATTCTTAGCGTTTCCACGCTTGCATAAATATTTATCAATATTTTGTGAATATTACTGAGAAAATAAAACAAGAAAGTCAAATTTTGAAATTAAATATGCGTTGAAAATTGGAATACAATAATTTGAAGATTGGATTGAATTCAAATAATAATAATTTAGCAAATAAATTTCAAAATTTTCCATTGGAAAGCTAAATTTAGGAAATATCTAGTTAAAACGTAAGATTCATAAATATCAGTAATATTTTGTAAATATTTCGAATAAAAAATAAATAGGGCAAACAAGTGAATATTTTAGCTAATAAGTTTCAAAATTTTCCATTTTTTCGCAATTACTAAATACCTACAAATTTCCGTAATATTTCATCAAAATGTTTCTATAAATCCCTCCCAAAAGGGCATAAAATATCGAAAAACTATCCCCTCAAACAAATTAAATCATCCGCACAAAAATTGTTACCCACCTTTGTCATATTTTTACCGATAAGATTAATTAATTTGGTGACGGTGAATTCACACAGGGCGCAAGTTGGGAGGATATCTTTAACGCCGGTGACTTTAGGTACAGGGCAGAGTTTGAGTCGTGGACAGATCTAAAGAAACAATTTGTTACGTTAGAAAATTAACTACAAATTATTTAGTAAGTGTGACCCCTCTTGACCTAGATACCTCTTTCGGGTCAACTTCTGATCCAATCAGTTCAATGAGTTCGTCCCCATACTCCGTGACGAACTCTTGGCACTGGCTCGCCATTTCCTTTGGGAGGTAGCGGGTGCACGCTTGGTCGACAAACTGTTCGATCGAGTGTTCCGTGGTGGGGTCGTCGAGATATGTTTGGAGCTGCGCCATGAAATAGGAGCATAGTTCGCATTTCGTATCCGACTCGGCTCTCTCGTCCGTACCGATGAGGCGCTGTGGGGGGACGAGTTTTACCAGTCGAGTGTCGCTCTTCACGGGGAAAATGGTCCAAACGAGGGAGGAGTCCTGAGGAAGATAGAAACATGTAATAATTTGTTAATTAATTAGTAATTTCGTTAAAACATCATACTTTCACCTTGCTTCGCAAATAAATTCGCATTTTTTTACCATAATAAAAATTATTACACCCACCTTTGCCCCACTCTCACTCGGACAGACGCCGACCCTCTGGCAGAAGCTGTCCGCATCCAAATCGTCCACCACGAGCTGATAGATCTCATCCCCATAATCCTTGACAAATGCGACGCATTCCTTCTCATGTTTCGGTCCGACAGCTTTGCACAAATTTTTCATCACAAGGTCAAACTCTTCTCGGGTCGCGTTGTCCACCAACCAAGTGCGCACGTGGTTGACCAACTGTTTGCAAAAATCGCAGGACAAATCCTCCGTGGGCTGGTAGACGGCGACCTCCCCTGTGTCGACGGGGTCGCTCCCCTCCCCACAAATTCCGACCAGTTCGCAAAATTCGCCTGATTTTCCGTCCAAATAACCTCGGACGAGGGTCAAGTCCTCCTCCAGGACGGCGGCGCGACAGCTGTCGGAATATGAGCCGAGGTGACCGCATTCTTCGAGGAGGGCATTCTTCAAGTTGTCGGACTGGTTGAGGTGGTGGAAAAGGGCGGACATGTGGTACTTGCAGGAGGCACAGGTCAGCTGAGAGTCGTCGATGAGTTTGTCGATGCGGGCAGAGTTGCAGAGGCCGGAAACGGCGCAGACGAGTTGTGGGTCCATGCGGGAGGCGAGCGCGTCGACGAGTTCGGGGAGAAAGTTGTCCATTAATTTGGTACACTCGGTAGAGATGATTTTTAGCGGGATGAGGGCGCAAGAGCCGTCGAGGACTTGTTTTAATTCGTCCTGTAAATTGAAAAACTGTTTTAAATAAAAATTGCATACGTGTGCAAACATTTTTTACACTAAAGGAGAGGCGAAGGTCAATATTCATGTAACAAATTCATAAAAATATAAAATACTTGCACTGAAAATATGGAGAAAATTAGAAATATAAACTATTCACCCTTCATTTTTTAGTTACAGTTAAATTTAAATTCGTACGTAATTTAACTTTAGGAATACCTACATATGTCAATTCGTATCATGAAAAAATTCATTATTGTGTATTGTCACATTGCAAACTCTGCAGTACACAGAAAATCTACATATAAATTTTTCCTGTCTTAAAAAATTAGCATTCGACATTTTGATTTAAAATGGTTAAATATGCTAAATGTACTCTGATTTTGTCATTTTTTTTGCAAATGTAAAATTCCAGAAATATTACCTGCGTCTCATTCGACAATAATTGATCTCTCGCTTCCTTCACCATCTCTTTGCAGATTTGACAAACGTCATCATTATCCGGGGGGAGGGTCATACCCGCCCAAGTCGTGGAGATACAGTGCTTCACCGCCTTGCACGTCTTCGCTTGACTACAAATTTTGCAGAAATATCAGAATTACTAATTAGCAAACATAAATTAGCAGACAATCAAATAATTAAAACTTTCTCCCATTCATTACGTGATATTGTGGCACCAATACGACGGTCCGTACGTGCAGGGTGAACTCCCAAGTAGTGCGCCATCGTCAAATGTGACCGTGTAAGAGTTGACGTGACCTGAAAGGGTCAAAGATTAAATTAATAAACCTGAAAATTTTCGCAAATTCTGCTTCCTCACCAAAAATCGCAACCGACACGGCCAACAAAACCCACCCCGTCGAGGAAAACGCCATTTTTGATCAATAATTAATTTCCACTAATTAATTAAGTCTTAATTTTACTCAGGGGGAGTTTCTCCTACGATTTAACAACCTCTTAACTGAAGCCGAGTCAAGAGTGAAGAGAGAGACGTAGGTTTGCTAAACTGCGCAGATAAATGATTACTTAAACTCAAACGGAGATAACAACCGACATAATGACTCAGCTATACAGCAATGGTCAGTTAAAGTTAAACCTAATCCTTACTTAACTTAACTAAATATTTAAGCAGGGAACCTTTATTTATTTTTGTACGTTGGTCATTGGTCGAGAAAAAGAAGATAAAGAAGGATGGAAACAGAGTGACAAATATCAAACATCAAATATCAGTTTGGTTTGTGTGTAAGTTTCCCACTTGATCTGGAGTAAAATGAACTCTGACTGGACGGGGACCATGCGTAAAGGATGGGGCCAATTTTTACTCTTACGATAAGAGTCTTATCGAAGGATGTGATCTATCCTAAAATTAATATAGGATGCGTTAAACTACTCCAAAAATCATAACCGATCTTGAATTTACCGTAAAAACTCAAATAGTAGCGGGGGGCTACTATTTAAAAAATCGGTGGCTGGGACCCGGCTACTATTTGAGCAAGGCTACTATTTGGGCACGGTCACTATTTATAAAATTATGAAAAAATGCACGGCTACTATTAGCAAACATCTATTGTAATTTTATTTCCAGAATCGAACTCAAATTAAATTTTAATAACAGCACCAAATTCTCCCTTAGATCCGTATTAGATGACAATTCTATAGGTTAGGCCTGCTCTTAATTTTAATAATTTATCCGATGAGCCGAATTTCGTGTTCAATTCGATGTTGTATAACTGAGATTAAATTCAATTGTGATTTAATTCCTTAAAAGAGCTGGCTAGGAGATGTCTGGTTGTATGTATCCCGATCTACAATTTTTGTTGCAAAGTGGTAGCAAAATGGTAGCAACTTGAAACAAATAACGGTGGCAAAATATTTGTTATTTTAACGTGATTCCACAGTATGAAAAATTACTGTTAACTCTTCAAAGCATTCTGCTACATAAAAATAACAGTAAAATTCACGCAACTTTTCATGAAAATTTCAACGAGAAAAGTTGCGTGGATTTCAACCAAATAACAACCGTGGTATTCACCAAAACATGGCACGAAAAAACAACGCAGATTTAACCTGGAATGCTAACAAAGAGAATGCGCGGAATCCAAAGTTTTGCCTCCACTCCATCTTTCTCTCTCACAAAGTCAGTTCAATTAATTTTATTTCCAAAATGTCATCCCTCCCAGTCAATAAATTTTGTATTATACAGATTGACTGTAACGGCGAAAAATTTGTAGAAATAGCTCCCACGATTTGGCTGGAAAAGGAGGAAAAGTTCGTGTTGTGGCCACCAGCTTCTAAACTGAAAAGTTTCAGTAAAAAGGGAAATGTACATCCCCTCCCATCCTGGAGAAGACAGACGTATCAGAAAATCCTTGGAAAATATGGTGAATATCATCGATTTAGTTCAATTATTAAAGTAATGTAATTGATTATATAATTTAAATAAAAATAATCTCGATTGCAGATACTTGGAAAGTATGTAGCTTGTGAGAAGGTTAAGATAGCGGAGGACACTTCCAATCTTAAGAGTGCGTCAGAGAATCATTTGGAAGGCCGAAAGCAGAAACATAATCGAGAATTGTCGCACCCGAACGTGTCATCAAGCAGCAGCGAGGATGAGGAAGAGAATTCCATTCTAGTTTTACCTCCTCCCATGAACGATGAAGGTAAAATAACTTGTTTATTAATAAATGCTTAACAAAAATAAGTTTTTATTCACTTGAATCCTCTTAGGAAGCACTGAAGTACAACTATCAACTCAAATTAACGACAACATTCCTTCAATAAATCTACCAGAAGTAGTCAACTTGGAAGGAGAAGACATTGACGTGCTTTTGGCCACTTCAGCAGATATAAATGATTTAAAGAAATTAATTGAAGGCAAATCTTTGCTTAGTTTTTACAGTTTTTATCATGTTATATCATTTAATACTAAAATAATGTAATTTTTGTTGCAGGTTATAATACAAGAATTATCAAAATTCTTGAGCGCCAAAACGCAGAAATTCTAGAGATAAGAGCAACCCTACATAATATCCGAATATCGAACGACGGAGAAGTTGAAGCTGATTTTTCATCTATTCCACATCATCATCTGGAGACGAGAGAACACCTTGAACAGACTGAAAATTGGCTGAAACTTGCCGACACAAATCGAGATTTATTGGTCAGATTTGGACTTTTTGATTAATTATTCAATTTCATAATTTTGTACCAATTCTGAATAATTCTGATCTTCCAGATTGAATACCTAAGAATAAAAGGAGGCGATACTGTTGAGAAAAATACGAAAAAGGCGTTTAAAAAATTAGTCAGCCCTGAACTTGCTCGACAAATAAATTACACTGGAAAGGGAGGAAAAATTGCTTTAAAACCTTTGGGAATTTTCTCGGCTGTAATTGGTTCGTTATTTCATATTTATTTGATTTTCTTGTAACACAATAGTTACTATAAGTAATTATGTACTCTTTGATTAAATAGAAAGTGTGAGAAAAAATTATCCTGCTGCAACGGACAACATAATTGAAAAAGCAGCAAAAGATTTCTTCCGTTTTATAAAAGTATAATATCGTCCTGGCGTGTCAACCCGGATTTTCAGCTAGAAATATAAGAAGAATAGTTTCAAAAAAAGTACGTGAAAATATTGCAGAATTACATGAAGAACTAACGTCGTCTACACAACATAGTAATAGTACAGTGTTTTGTCAAAAATTCTCGGCCGATTAATAATAATAATTATAGCTCAGGGACTGAATCAATTGATGTTAGCGATAGTGATATAAGTTTAATTAGTCGTGTAACCTCGGACTGCAGTCAGGAAGGAGAAAGTATTGATAAGATAAGAGAAAATTTAAGAAATTGGGCAATTTCACATAATATAACTGGGTTAGCAGTGCAAGATTTACTCAAACTTCTGAAGGAATATAAAATATTTAGTTTTCTACCTTCCGATCACAGAACTCTTCTCAGGCCGACGGCAAATTATTTTACGAAAAAAGCATTTGATGATGGTCAGCTATTTTAACCCAGATATAGAGCAATGTGTGAATAGGATGATTGAGAAAGAAAATGTTCTTTTGTCTCAACCTGTGTCTACAACTTCTACCTCGTTTAAATTAACCCGTAATGACAATTGTTATAAGTTAAAATCTGGGTTTATTGTTGTTGTATCAGAATACATTAAAGATAGTGACGTCATAGTATGTAAGACATTCAAAAAACTTGAAGACTTGTAAAAATATCCTAGCTCTAGTTCTATTTTAGGCATACATCAGGTTTCAAAAATATCAAAGAGTTTTAGAGTAAATGTGAGCCAAGTTGAAGCAAAATGTTGGTTGATGTCATTGGATGACAAATTAATTGTTGTTCCTTTAATAAATTGTTAATATAAATAATACAATATAAATTGTTTATAAATTGCGATTTTATTGCCAATGAACTGCGAAAAACCTACCGTTAATATTTTGCATAAATTACCGTGAATGCAACGGTGGTTTTGACGTAAACATTACTGTGGATTTGTTGCAAATGCCACGGTTATTTTATTGTTACTTTCCACGTTAAAATAACGTGAAAACCACTGTGGTTTTCTTGATGTGTTAGTTGTTGAAAACCACGTTCGAAAAACGGCCATCAGTTGCAATTCTGCAACTCAGTTATTTTTGCGTGGATTTAACGAAAATTGTAGATCGGGATGTACATTGGCAATTGACGAACGTCTATAATTCGAATAAGGCTACTATTTGGGCACGGCTACTATTTGAGTTTTTACGGTATGTACATTTGGTGTGTAACGTCCGACATGGGGTAGTCAATCAATGTGCTGTCAAACATGATAATTAAGAAGGTGTGCATAAAGGATGTCGTCCTGGATTGAGGGCAGGCTGAGATTAGTAAAGGTAACGTTGAAATGGACATGTACATATCTTTCTTATAAATGATAAGTATGATAAGTAAGATATATGCTGTGCAAGTTTATCATAAACTGTTTATGACATGCTTAATGCACGGTTGGGTTTGCATGCAAGCATAATGTTTAATACTGGAACTGGATTCTTTTATGTATCTATCGGTCTATGTAAGCAATTTGTATGTATTTATGGTTTAGGGTACTCGGAATGACATGAATTTTCTGTATTTCTTCCTAAATGATTTTTTCTTTACATGAATAAGTATATATGTGTGTAGTGTGGTTTATCTATGTAGATATATTCGTGACTACCTACTTATCCTTTGTTGACTCATCCTTGTATGTACACGTATTTCAAATATATACTGAGGAGATCCTGAGTCATGAGTAAATACTCATTTTCCAATAAATAAGTACGATATGATATGCATTTGTTTCAACATATGTAAATACATACTTATGTACATATGTATGTATGTCCAGTTAAATTGTCCACCTACATATGTATGTCCAGTTGTCCACCATTTCTAATTAAGCAGACAAATCGTCTCTGTAATTCGTGTAATTGTTTTCGGACCGAAAACAATCTCCCGATTAAATTAAAAACAATGTGGAACCTGCATTGCAGATATGGTTACTTCGATAAATGTCTTGTTATCTGATACAGACATATGTACATATGCTTGATACATACATACATACATAAATATGAACTACATTAATAAATACTAATACACCTACGCATTTAACATTTGGGAGGATGACACACCTAAATTACTGAACTACTTAATTCGCAATAACTTAATTGTGTCCTCACCTAGAAAATGGCATCCTCACCTGAAAATTTGTCACCTGTGACTTATCAAACCTGGCTGGGTCATGGTGCATTTGGCGTCGTCTTAAAAGCCGTGGACCCACCTCGTCTCGCCACTGCTGTCAAGTTTATATTTCCACCCATCGACTCCAACGATTCTAAAGATATGACGCAAATTTTTCGCGAGTCCACCATTTCCTCCAGACTATCACCACACCCAAACATTGTGGAAATCTTGGGAGTTTCTGAACGTAAATTTTCCTTGTCCGAATTGGAAAGTATATTCCCCGATTCAATTTTACGAAACGAGGACCAGCAAACAATGAAAGATCACTTTCTCGGTAAAGCAAGGCGTCAAAAGAAAATTTATGGAGTTCGAATCGAGATGGAATTATGAGGCGAAAATTTAAGGAAATGGTTAAATTTTCCTCATCCGGTTAAAGGCCCAACTCTAAATTTTTACAAGTTCACCATCATAAAAAATCTTACTTCCGGTTTGAAACATTTGCATGACAGCAAGATTATTCATCGCGACTTAAAACCAGAAAATATCATGTTTTCCATGGTGGGATTCGGCCTTCCGGTGAAAATTGGGGATTTTGGTCTCTCTAGAAATATTCATTCGAGCCAGGAAAGTAAAACTAGCTCTTTAACCAGTCAAGTCGGCACGCAGGACTACATGGCGCCGGAAGCATTCCGGAACAAGTACGATTTTAAGGTGGATTTTAACTTTGTTTTAATTTTACATTTTTTAGACAAAGGTTAGGGTATTTATATTTCAATGCTCGACTCCTTTGTGATCAGCTCTTCGAACTATTATGCATACGGATAGTATAACGCGTACGTAATTTTATGTGATACAGTGTGGTTTAAATGTCAGGTTACAATGGAAAACTTGTCAATGGGAAAAATTCGTAAATTTCCATTAGTTACGGATTTGGGATTGAGATTTTTATTAATTTTTATCAGAACTTATGGAACACAGATGACAAAATTCATAAAATATTGAATTTCAGAGGCAAAATTTCGGTAACTAATGGAGATTTGCGAATGTTTCCCATTGAAAAATTTTCCATTGTAACCTGACATTCCACCCTACATGTGAAAGGATTATGTTTGTCATGATAATATTAATTGATCCTCTGAATATTAATAACTCAAATAATAAATCTTAGGTGGACCTATTTTCCTTGGGCCTCGTCATCTGGGAGGTGGTCCAACTAATTCCATTTCACCAAAGAAAAAACCTTTTTGATCGCCTCGTCAACGACAAGGAAGAGAATGTAGTTCAAATTAATCCCGCAATTCGAGATGTTGCGCAATTAATCGTTTGTTTAACCAAGAAAAGACCTCAAGACCGGATGGAAAATATGAGAGAGGTTACTAACCGCATCAAGAAATGGAAAGCGCCAGAATTTAAATTTTACAGAATTGAATCAATTCCAAGGTCATTCCAGGAAGCCGGCAAAATACTGACGGCCAAGAATAGCTTGGAACTTGTGACCTGTTTAATACAGGCAAAACCTGGATCAACAATTAACCTATTGGATGCTGACTACGCCGGCTATTTTGTTCTTAACAAGGAAAAAATCACACTAATTGGACGCGGATCATCAATTTTATTTAAAAATCATGCAAAAACGCAGCGAAATCGGCTTATAGTGTCAGGAAACTATAACAATATTTGGAACATAAAATTTTCCTCTACCACCGATAACCTTTCATTTGCTCTAACTGGTGATAACAATCACGTAAACGGCGTGGAATTTATCGGCGGTCAGAAAGGCATTTTGGTTTCTGGAAAAGAAAATAAATTGGAAAACGTAACTGCGACAAAGTGTGATTCGCCGATTCAAATTAAAGGATGTAATAATCTGATTGACAACGTGCAATTTGATTCAATTGATGATTGTGTTATCTACGTGGGGACCGAATCGGAGGGAAATATGATCCAGAATATTTTCGGGATAAATATGAAACGCGGGATTTGGTGTGACAGCAAGAATAATAAGTTTAGCGGGATTAATTTTTCTAAAACGCTTGATTATAAATGTCACGTGGGCGTTAGATTTGATCGGAGTGGGAATTCGAATACGATAAATGACTTAATTTGTTCGAATTATGCGGATGACGAGTGGGATTTTGTGGTATACTCGAGTAAATCTACGGGTATGAATTGTACGTGTAACACGGTGTTTGTAGGTGGGTCAGAGGTTACACTTACCAAGGTCAATTGTAGTAATGCACTCATCATCGGGAAGAAGGCTGCGGAGGCAGTGTTGCAGAATTGTGGGGGCAACTGGTTACTGGCTGAGTTACCAGTGATTCAGAAAAGTTGTCGATTTGAGATAATATTGAATAACAGGGATATTTAGATTAGTATTTTTCAGTGGTATGAATGACCTTGGTGAAATGGTCCTTCTTGTATCTTCGTAGACACAGGAAGGAAAAATTTGCATCATTCTGCAGAATATGTATTTCTATGCGTATGTATATGTGTATACATACATACGTGTCAGTAATATGTAATACTAAAGTAGTACTTAAGAATAGTTTTCCATATTACTATTACTCATCGTGTATCTATTTTAGGGGCTGAGGTGAGACTCTTTGTCGTCAGATTTCGGTGACATATTTATGTACACATGTAATTAGCGAGAATCTATGTATGTACATTTGTATGCTTTATAATTGTATCAATGCATACTCTGTGCTATTATTTATAAATAAAAAACATCATGTTTGACTTTTGTATGTTAATACAAATAACCCAATTAAATATACATCTATAAACACAAGTATGTACATAATGTTCCACCCTCAATTTTCATAATTATACCCTACGTACATATTCAATCTCCATGAAAAGTTGGTCAAGGTCAAGGATAAAAGTTTTTGGATATGGCCCCAAAATTGAGATATACATAGTTGGTGCTTATTTTGGTGGATCCTTTCAATGTTAACCATTTACTCATCGTTGATATATACATATGTATTTATGTAGTGCTAGGGAAACAGTGATTTGTACATAGTATGTATTTACATATTTAGTTTCGACCCCAAATATGTACCTCTGAGCTGCTTTTGTGCATTTTGGGAATAAATGATCTTGAGACTTCCGATTTGATACTCTAAAAAATTTATGCTTTGACTCCTTCTCTCAAGATTATCATGATGTCTTAAAATCCATCAGTCGAAATTAAGATCTTCACCCGGTCGTACATATACGTATACTGCTTATTTGCATATCGGCGAATTTATGTACGTATTTACATATGTATTTATGTTACGTTTGTGTTTCATGTTTCCTCCCCATGCACCCCATCATAAATACATATGACTAGGTTCACATAAACCGGTACATGGTGTGTGCAGAGTTGTCGCGAAACCAAAAACGCTCTTACACGTGTCCAATAGAATCAAAAATTAGTGTATACGTGTAACAGCGTTTTTTCTCAATGCGCCCCAAAGTTTTCATATTGCCCCAAATACTGGAAAACCACATTTCAACGTTACTAGTGGGTTAATTCTCTCCAAACTTAGCATGCTATCCTCATTTCGTATTCGTCACATCGCCCCAGAGAATTGGCTGCCTAGGTTAAAATTTGTAATGCCATCTACCTGAAAATTTTGACAATTTTTTTCGTTTTTTTGAAATATTTTCGAGATTTATGAAATGGTATCTTTCTAGCTTCATATCTCTACAGAAACACTATATTCTGCTTCGAATGCCGTTTCATTGAACCTCATAGGTCAAATATTAAGGGTACTTTGTAGGAAGATTGATTTTGGCAGAGGTTCCCGCTAAGTACCAATAATTCTAATTTTATCCAGTAGTGTCGATGCGGTTTACCCCAACTTTTGATATGTTTTACATATTTAGTAGTGCAACAATTGTCAATCGCACTAACCGTCGAAATCGACCTGTTTGACCTTGCTCTAAGGGTCGGGGGTAAAAGTTCGGAGATCAAGTCTCACATAACCCCTTAAGTGTGACATCGTTGAAAAGGTCTCGGTTAGAAAATTCAGAATATATATAGTTTGTGGGGTCTATGACCACTCCGTGGATGTCTAGAGGCGGTTCAATGAGAATTTCTGATTTTCCAGAATTTAGCACAGCACTAGATAGGAAGCTAACATGGCAAACAGATGGGCACAAACTCAAAAATAATCTTCCACTTCTGGAACACTAAGGAGTGACCATAGACCCCACAAACTATATATATTCTGAATTTTCTAACCGAGACCTTTTCAACGATGTCACACTTAAGGGGTTATGTGAGACTTGATCTCCGAACTTTTACCCCCGACCCTTAGAGCAAGGTCAAACAGGTCGATTTCGACGGTTAGTGCGATTGACAATTGTTGCACTACTAAATATGTAAAACATATCAAAAGTTGGGGTAAACCGCATCGACACTACTGGATAAAATTAGAATTATTGGTACTTAGCGGGAACCTCTGCCAAAATCAATCTTCCTACAAAGTACCCTTAATATTTGACCTATGAGGTTCAATGAAACGGCATTCGAAGCAGAATATAGTGTTTCTGTAGAGATATGAAGCTAGAAAGATACCATTTCATAAATCTCGAAAATATTTCAAAAAAACGAAAAAAATTGTCAAAATTTTCAGGTAGATGGCATTACAAATTTTAACCTAGGCAGCCAATTCTCTGGGGCGATGTGACGAATACGAAATGAGGATAGCATGCTAAGTTTGGAGAGAATTAACCCACTAGTAACGTTGAAATGTGGTTTTCCAGTATTTGGGGCAATATGAAAACTTTGGGGCGCATTGAGAAAAAACGCTGTTACACGTATACACTAATTTTTGATTCTATTGGACACGTGTAAGAGCGTTTTTGGTTTCGCGACAACTCTGCACACACCATGTACCGGTTTATGTGAACCTAGTCATATGCATATTAAATTCTAAATATATTTAATTTAATGTATTTATGCATGTGTCCAGTCTCATACGCAATTTTATGCTGATTGAATTTTAACTGCTGATTAACAAGGAAGCCAAATGATCTAGAGAAGTAAACTTCAAATTGAATCCAGATCTATGCAAAGAACGAAGTGAACCCTGTGACTCATTTTTCGATTCGATTAATGTGTGAGTGTACGAACAGTATTTTTATATCCAGTGGCATTAAACAATGAACGCATACATTCATTTATATATATCGGAGAAATACACATTAATTCATGCTTGATTGCAACATCGAACATATGTAGATATCTTCCTGTGCTGGGAAAAGCCTACGTCGCAGCACTTATAACTTCAATACAGTTCTAATCATCAAGGCGTTACCAAGGAGTTGTGATAAGATTTAAAATAATTTGAATCTACTGGATTACCTTTGGTTTAAAATCTTGAGTGGTCCCTTATACATACGTATAAAGGTAATCTTGAATTGTATTTGTACATATATAAACTGCAAAACTACACATAACCTTTCCTGTACATATGTTTTTCACGTAAAGTTTTACGAGAAAAACTAGGAAATACCTATGTATGTACGACTTAAATATTTCTCAAATTGTATTTTGTTCACAACGAAAAATAAGCATGTAATCTTTCATGTTTCCTATGTACATAAATACATATGTATATATTGCGCTAATTCTATTGCGTAGTGGAAGATTTTGAATGTTTTTTCCTTGAGTTTTCAAGAAACTAACTTTTGTAATTTTGGCGTAATTAAAAAAACTTTCATGTACCTTGGATTTTATGAAATTTAAAATGGCACATATTTTTGAACTTGCAAAATTGGAAAATTCAAAATTCAAGTATGTAGCTATGTATGTATGTACATACATATTATGAATGTATAGCCATATGTATATGCAGATATGTTTTTAATTTATTATGCAAAATTTGAAAAGTTAAGTACACCGTTTTAGAGAAAAAAAAACAAGTTGATGCTAATATATATAAAACTATTTATTACTTTCCAGATGGAGAATTGCGAACTCCTTCGTGACGGAATAATTGGGTGGATGCTGGTCATATGTTGGACATTAAACTTGTTAATCGTGTCCTTATTTGTCTTTCCGACATTAATTGCGACAACCTGGATGAATGGGAAGGTCAGGAATCCGGCCGGCTTAATATTTGGCAACCTGGCATTTCCCTTCCGTAAATTGTGCACTTACCATTGGGGAAAAAATGTGAGACGCAACATGGTTACTAGTAATTTAGTAATTGATCAACAATAGTAAATATATATTGGCAAATTAAGACGACTAAAATATGTACATTGTCATCGATCATGTACATAAATATTTAGATTTACATACGTACATACTTGTTAATTTTCCGAGATTTGAGGCTAATAAAAGTCAAATTAGTTAGCATTATTTTGTAAAAACGCGACTATTCATTTACTCAATACATACATATCTACAAACCCAAGCTACAGATTCTTTAACCACTTGTTACATAAGTATACCTAAATATGTATGGTACTATTATACGACCAACTTTCTTTTTTGCATAATAATGCATGAGAAAAAGTTGACACATGATATGTTGTGGGTAAAATTATCCTGAGAATATGCACTCCCAGAAAAATCGACACCAAATTGACACCAGGCCGGTGTCACTACCGATTTGGTGTCAAACTGGCACAGCGTGGTGCATATGTCAATTATGTTGCACACACTTTTGTTCGAACCGTTTGGTGCTTCGTCCTTCTATCAGGGTCAATTTTTCTGGGTACCGTAGAACATATGCATGTACATATGTACATACATGTATGGGTACATATGTAAAGAAGTGCACGATTTGTGCATGCTTTTTAGACATATGTACATACCTAACAACACACTCATATGTATTTACATAGATAGCATATATGTACATAAACATATAAATGTACATATATATAATATGATCTATTTATGAATGGGACACAAAATATGCAAGTATGTGTGCACATACATCTTTACAAGTACAAACGACTATGGGAGTGTAGATTCAGGATGTACGGACCATTCCTTGCGTATGCATCTGACTGTCCTATTCTACATATAATTAGAAAGAATAGAATGTCTTGACTCTCAACTGCCTTAATAAATCGACGAAATCCTCTATGCACGATCCCATAAAAGTGTTTGACATTCGCATGTTTTTGGATTGGAGGGGAAACCATATGATTTTTAGATATGTACTACACCGGCATTCACATATGTATTTACATCCACGTGGTACATAATATAAGGTTTGAGAACAACACTACTTAAAAATATTTGTCTACAAGAATTCAAAATCATAAATACACTAGATATTTTGATTTGCACAGGCAATTACTTAATTTCCAAACATGTCATCATTACGGAGCCGCCACAAATGTTCCAAATGTGACAAGTATTTTTCCACCAATTTCGCTTTATCCCAACATATTAAAAATCATGTAGACGAAACAGAAATCTCCGACGAGGAGGAGGACGAATTCGCTAAAACTGGTAAGATTTTCGCAAAATCGCGAATACGACGCCATTGCAAAACCTAATCGAAAGTAATTTCCCGCCTCCCATGTTTCAGAAGTTGAGCTGAAAACGCCCAAATTTCCATGCACAGTTCCCCACTGTGGGGCAAAATTAGGGTCAAAAACCGCCCTACAAGCCCACATCAAAAGCGTCCACGTCGCCACGAGGAACTTTAAATGTTCCATTTGTTCCAATGCCAACTTTTTCCGAAATTTGCGCGATCTGAACGTCCACAAAAAAAAAGTTCACGGTGCCAAGAAATTCAAATGCGCCCAGTGTCCCAGAGCGTTCACGATGTCGTGCTCCTTAAAAAGCCATGTCGACGTGGTCCACTCCACCGAGCGGGATTTCGAGTGCACTATTTGCGGAAAAAAATTTAAGCAGAAATCAACCCTAAAAAGTCACGTGGATTCCGTACACTCGGAAACTTTGACCCTTTCGGAATGTGACATATGCAAGAAATTTTACAAAACGGCCTACGCCATGAAATCCCATAAACAAAATGTTCACCAAAATGGCGAATACAAATGTGACCTTTGTCCCAAAACGTTTACGCGGAGGGATACGATGTCCCGACATAAAAATATGGCACATTTGACACCATCGGGTTCCTCCGTTAAATGCAGTTTTCCAAAGTGTGGAAAGGTGTTTGTGTTCGACTCCAGTATGAAGGCGCACTATAGGAGAGTTCATGTAGGAGGATGTGTGAAAAAATTCCCCTGCTATTTTTGCGATAAAATGTTCGAATCTCCGGGGAACGTGGTGGATCATACGAGGTCACATACGGGAGAGAGGCCCTTTAAATGTGCGGTGTGTAAAAAAGAATTTTCTACCTTGGGGCTTCTGACGAGACACGAGGTAAGGAATGTGGTTAAATTAATAAAATCATGTATATATGTTGTTTATTTATAATGGAGGTCTCTTAGCGTATGCTATCTGATTTTGACGTAACCAGTGTCAGTCGATAACGAAGTTAATTAATACGAAATTTGTAAAAGAAAAGATCTGCCAATGCGCAGGTTTGGCAGAGATATTTGCATCCAAAGAAGAGAAAACGTGGCCTGAGTTTGACAAATTTACGGCGCGTTTTCTCCTCTTCGGATGCCAATATCTCAGCCAAATCTGACCATTGGGAGATCGTGTCACTTGTAAATTTCATACTAATAATTTGTGATTGATTGACACTATTTTGGTCCACATAATGTTTAAGTACCTCATAAAAATTAATCCTAATTAAAATTGCTTCTACTAATTACAGCCAACTCATGTTCCTACTACGGAGAGGAAACAGTTCAAATGTCCGCTTTGCTCACGAAGAAGTTTCTACAGCTTCGATTTGAAAAATCACATGAGAAAGATGCATGGATCGAGCAAAAGTAAAATAATTTCTGGTTCCAAGCCTGGACAAAGCGTGGCCGTACACGTGACGACACATATGAAGAAGAAGATTTTTAAGGGTATGAATGCATGGGGTTTGGTAAATATTTTACCCCAATTTTGAAAATTTTTAAATAATTCCCAATAAAAATTTCAGATGAAAAGAAAATCAGGTCGAAAGAGAATAAAAAAGTAAGACTTGGCCAGAAGCGGACCCTTGGTCGCAGCGATGCCATACTGGACACAAATGTTAGCAAAGGTAAATGTTCAGGATGAACTAGGTTTCAAAAGATTATAAGTTAGTTTTGTGTAATAATCTTTATAAATGTGTTGCAATTATATAATTTTGAAAATAATTTTTTAACGTGAAAATTAACAATGCAACCTCTTCTTACAGGCTTTGTCCCCACGACTCCAAATTCCGACAAATTCTCACCTTTACCATATATTAAGATTGAGACCGAAACTTTGAGAGAAACTGACGAAACGGACGACGGGATGGACATCGTCCACAGTATTTTCGTCGGTGGAAGCGACACTGTTTCCGAGCAGGGTGAATCAATGGCAAAGTAATGACGACGACATTGTCAAGTTAATCTCTATAAGTCTGAATTATGTAAATGCTTTACATACATATGTACTTTTTCAAGCTACACCGGGATTGACTAATGAGTTACATCAAAAAATCAAGCCAAAAATTAGGAATCACATGTCGCTTATCGTTCCGTTGAATGGCGCCTTTGAAGAAAAATATTGGGGGTCTAAGTCCCCACGAGCGCCGTGGGTTTTCGCCTTGTGGAGGAAAAGGGAAAGAAAATTTAATAAAAAATTGAACTTTGCCGCCAATATTTTTCTTCAAAAGGGCCATTCAACGAAACGATAAGCGCCATGTGATTTCTAATTTTGGGCTTGATTTTTTGATATAACTTATTAGTCAATCCCGGTGTAGCTTGAAAAGAGGTTCCATTGTAAGTGCAAAATACATAGTGTACGAAAATAATTTTGATTCCATTTCTCTCAAAATATGTATTTACCAAGGATGTACAAATTTAAGCTCTATTGTGTATTGGCCCGAGCATAAAGTGTCAAAATAAACGGTTACCATATTACATATGTACATATGTAAATGTATTTATTTCCTTCCTTGTTACTCTCCAGTTGACAAAATTGGGTCAAAGTAAACATGGTTATTTAATAAAAATATGATATCCTCGGGTGATAACAAGCAATGAATACGAACATACAGCCACCACCAAAGACTATAGAACTGTGGGGTTGATGACGCCATGACGAAGGGCTGAATCTATATACATACATATTTGCGAATCGTTCAGAACGCCATGTTGTCCAACTCCAAGAGATAGAAGCGTTGACTTGGAAGCTTGCCAAGTCGGTATTTGGTATAAACTAGGAGTCCCTGAAATCCAATGAAAAAAGAAGCCATTGCACATCGATATTTATGGGGCAAGTAATACGTAAGAATCGAAAATGTAAATATGTACATACAAGTTGAAACGGTGGGAATGACGATTTTCGAAATCTGAGCTGAAATTCGAAACACAACGTGGCCCCACGTAACAGTGGGAGTGGAAACTCAACCACCCAAATTGGAAAAGGTTTCTCTGCAATTATATAAAGTAAAAAAAACATATTATGCAAATATTTGCATAATTTAGGAAACTCGCGTCAAGCCAAATGTAGTGTAGCGTATATAGTATTTCGTTATGAATAAGTTCATAACGAATTTAAGTCATGTAAAATGTATTTTACATTAATTGAATTCGTTCAAAGGAAACCAGAATTTCACAAGAAGCTTTTTTTAAGATATACATAAATATTTATTCGTTGTCATGATGAGCAGTATTTAGTTGTGAAGGATTGACGTGAATTAACCCAATGACCAAGCTTGCATTTTTAACCTGTTATGATGAGTGGATTGTCAGTATTTTGTCCAGTATTTAGGGCCTTTGTTGTACTTGTGAAGATGAGAATTGACTATCAAATAAATATACATATGCAATTATTTATTTGACGTAAATATGTAAACATTCTTTTTTAATTAATTTTGGAAAATCGCAGACATGAATAATTTGGACTATAAAATTGCATCTTTTACCCAAATTAATGAAATAAAAATTGTGACAAATATAAAAATAATGGGCAACAACTTCCACTTTACAATTTTAAAAAACCATTCACTTACCAGAATTATCCAGTGAAATAACTTTGGCGAAAATCCTCTTTGACAAGAATGATTAAAATATTGGCACATAATTATTTATAAGCTCGGAAAATTCAAATTAACGTAATTTCAAAAATGCATACTTAGGCTAAACTTAACTATGAAAATTGCATCCGTTCATTCTACCTACTTCTACCTCTCCGAATATGTTTGTGTAAACGGAAGTCAGTTCATGAAATGAATGAGTGACTGGGCTACGAAGCAGTGCAATTAATTAGACCCGTTTTTTGTAACAATTAATCGTAGTGCGTGTAAAAATGATCATATCACGGCACAACTACGTATACATATGGATGAACCTGTTGCTTCATCTAAAATGAAGAAGATAAAAACCATGTAAATTTTGGGAAATGTTGAAACGCTTATTTTCTGTTTATGTATGTATCTGCTGGGGTTTAAGTAAAATCGGGTGGACATGGTTCACGCACGGCCCCTCTTACTGCAGAACTGCAGATCTTCTTTCCTATTTTTCCTCCTGCGTAACTGAGGAGTCCGTTAGTTGACTCATTTATTCTAGGCTTTAATACATAATTATTTACATATGAAAATAAATTGGTAGAAGGAACGGATTGTAAAACATGAGGTAGATTTGAGGTCATTCAATACATCTTATCTTTCCGATTTCAACTCATATATCATGAATGATGAAATACAAGAAACCAAACCCGGCACATGCAGGGCACAAGTGCATTTTTTTCTGCGGTGAGAAGTTGACCAGCTTTGGTGACCTTGTCAACCACTGCGGCAGAAAGAATGTTTTAGGCCGTTTGCAAGACTACGTTTTTAAAATTTCCGTAGCTTTTCCGTAAGTCTTTATATGTCTTGATTTTAGTTAAAACTTACGGAGGTAATATGAAAAATGTTCAGAGGACATCTTAGAATAATTTTAGGATGGACTCCGTAAGTTTTGACAAAAATTAGGAGAGAAGAAGCGTTACGGAAAAATTACGGAAATTTCAAAAACGTAGTCTTGCAAACTGCCTATTAATTTAGTAACAACGACTCTGGGCGCCTTTTTATCGCATTTGTCAATAAATCTGTCAAATTGTAAAGAAATATAATGTTGACGAAAATAATAATAATTTTAACACATTATTTTCATACGTATAATAAGAGGAGTAATTTGCAATTCATTCCTATCACAAAATTTCGAAGAAGTACATATTTATGTAAGGTGGAAGGTCACATTTTATATTTTATAACTTCTGAAATAAGGCACTACTAGTTCCAATTACGACAAGCTCACGATCAAAATTTTGCATGAAAGATATTTGTAGATGTTAGCCATAAAAATTGGCAACAAAAACGTCTCACTTGACTTTTTTCGACACACAATAAATACAACACATCACACAAATGGCAAATAATATATGTACTTATTGTTAGGTTGGACATCTTCTCGGATAATTGTTTTCCAGCTTTCAGCCAGGTAGGTAAGGATAAAGTTATCAATTGATAACTGAACTGGCAAAATTAGGATTTTCATAGAAAGTCCAAGCATGCAATGCGTACATCAAAATTTGCATGAGAAAGATTACTCGACTTTGTTCGAGTAAAACTTGCTACCAAAACCGCCAACCAAACAGCACATGTTCAGCAAATTTTGTAACTCAAGAATTTGTAAGTTCCATCCAATACACAATACAAAATGAATAAAACAATCTTGTTTCAAAATCACCATAAAACAATTAAGGATCCGTTTCATTGTTTCTTCTGCGGATAATATATCCTGGTGTGCCGTCTTATCTTTTCTAATTGAAACAGGTGGTAAGCAAGATATTAATAGCGAATTACAAAAACGAAACAGTTTTATTCTTTATATATAACTCTCATTATTTGTAATTTTATACAGGAAATCACAAACCATGGTCCAAAGAAAGAGGCGGCTAAACGGTCAGAGAGCGGCGCAGCTAAGGTGGAATACAGAACGTGCCAAGAAACAACTTTCTGACGAAGTCGGTTCAGAATTACAAGGTATACTTTTTTGAAAAAATTTACGAAGTTTCTTAACTTTAATGTCTCTAACATTTATCATAAATAATTAGAATTGACCAACGACGAGGTGATCGAGACGATAGAAGCGCCTGTAGAGGAGGACGAGGAGGACGATCCTACTGTTCCTCCGACAATTTGCATAATTTGCTGTTGTCCTGCCCACAAAAAGAAGTATCCCACAAAAGTAAAATTTCTGCTGGGACAAGTCGTCCCATATTCGCTCCTTTGCGACTCGCACTTTCGCCAGGAGGAAATTGAACAGCACATCGACCTCTGCGTGTCGTGTGTGCGACTGCTCGGAAAAGGGGAACGTTTACATGAGCGGATTGTCACACTGGAGAAGGAGTTGGACAAGGTGAAGAACAATGTCAAGAAATTGGTGCAGAGTTCCGCCCTCGTTAAGCAGGAGGAGGACGAGGACGGTGGAAATTTGGTGGTGGGAAGAATATACGGAAATATTAGAGAACAATTGCTGAGTGGTTAGTTGCTATTAACGCCGGGTTTAGACTTCACGTTATCATCACGTTCTCCTCCCAATCCGATTTTTTGATTGGCTAATCAAAAATATCACTAACAATGGAACCTCTTTTCAAGCTACACCGGGATTGACTAACGAGGTATATCAAAAAATTAAGCCAAAAATTAGGAATCACATGGCGCTTATCATTCCGTTGAATGGCGCCTTTGAAGGAAAATATTGGCGGCAAAGTTCAATTTTTTATTAAATTTTCTCTCCCTTTTCCTCCACTAGGCGAAAACCCACGGCGCTCGTGGGGACTTTGACCCCCAATATTTTTCTTCAAAGGGGCCATTCAACGGAACGATAAGCGCCATGTGATTGCTAATTTTCGGCTTGATTTTTTGATATAACTCGTTAGTCAATCCCGGTGTAGCTTGAAAAAAGGTTCCATTGTAAGACAATTAAAAATTTCGACCAATCAAAAAATCGAATTGGGAGGAGAACGTGATGCTAACGTGAAGTCTAAACCTGGGGTAACGAATAATTTAATTTGTGATGCAAATTTCATGATTTTTAATTACTTATGGCTAATTTGCATAGATTTCGTAAGGAAAGAGGACGAAGAAAGCTTTTTCGTCGCGGACTGGTCAGGAGTAAACTTTTATGAGAATGAAGAACAGCAGACGGAGAATATTTTTAGACCGGAAATTGGAAATGATTCCTTAGAATTTGCAGAGGATTCAGTAGTCGAAGAAGTTGTTGAGAATAATTCACTCGGTGAAGATTCAAGTATTGCAAATAGAACCGGTACAGATATTGCAAATTCAACCGGTGAAGATTCAAGTATTGCAAATTTAACCGGTGCAGCTTTAAGTACAAATATTGTAAATTCAGTCGGTGCAGATTCAAGTATTGCAAATTCCATTGGTGCTATCGCAAATTCAGTAGTTTCTGGTATTAAACAAGATTACAGAAATTTTCCAGAATTTCAGAAACTACACAAGGGTAAAGTTGTAGCTACGTATTCGAAAACGACTCCCAAACGAAGCATTGCTCCAATCAAAATTAGCAAGTTATTGAAAGTGCAACACAAAGATAAGAAAAAATATACCCTTAAACCAGGGTGAGTGTCATAAACAGTTAATTAACGAATTAATTAACTAATTAATTATTTTCCATTTGTGTCACACAGCTTTGAAAAGTCTAAAATCTCGACAGTAAAGAAACCTAGAGTATTACCAATACATCAAACAGGGTAGGGTTTTACTTTAAATAAAATTATGACTATATTTGAAATATTTGTTCCCCGTTTATGTAAAAAGGATTTTTGGTCACCTCGTGACCCCGTCGACGACTGAAAGAAGTTTCGGCCTGCCCTTAGTTATTGAACCGATATCGGTCCCGGAGGTTCGAAAGCTACCTGAGCTGCTGACTACTACCTCCACAAAAAGTCATTATCCTTGTGCCATTTGTCCAGATAAGTTCGATACCCTCGTGGAGGCTACTTTACACCGGAAATTTATTCACCCAGGTACACACACAATACGATTTCAAATATTTAGAGTCGCAAATCATTCTTACCCAGTTTACGAAGCTCAAAAAATTTGAGAGATTGGCAAAATATGATTTGGCAAACCTATGTACAAGTCTATTTTATTTGAGTCCCTTTGCAAAATCATTTCGCAAAATAACAATATGCTGCGCATGAAAAAATTATATTGTTTTTCAGTAGATGGAATGCAACCTTGCAAATTTTGCCTTATACACACTAATTGATTTATTTGATGACCTAGGTTTCACCCTTTGCGCTAGTCCAGTTCTAAGTCTCCAATGCGGAAAAATATTCAGATCTTGCGACATAAAACGTCACAGGATAGAAAGCCATCCACTTCTTCGGTGTCCCGAATGCAGGGAATCGTTCACCACCACGGACCGATTGGAATCTCACGTGGAGTCAGCTCATCACCAGGACGGATCTGTGCCACCGCCACTGCCAGAATTTGGATATGATGTCAAACTAATCCCGTGGGTGATCCCGATGACGAAGGATGAAATACGAGAAGCGAGCCAGGATCAGGGATTTTTTCGTGTCAACTTGAGGCGGGTGGAAATTGAGGACACGCCGGAACACGTGGTGGTCGTTGTCGAGCATGCTGATGAAGCGCTCCCGTTTGGTTTGGTATCTCAAATGACGAATGAGTCCAACAATGAGATAGAGTAAGAACAATATCATATTGATGAATAGCATTTATGAAAGTTTGTGCTCAATTCATACAAGGAAAGCTATTTTTAATTATTATTCTTAATTTCTTTCCACAGAATTCTAGATAGTGGGGCTGATTCTGCATCAGAAAATATTCATAACACTGAAAATACAAGAGTTCTAACTCAACCTGGTATTTTTTAAACTGTTTACTTTAATTAATATTTATAGTACATAATTACTCATACTAATTACAGTGAAACCCAAGAAAAAGAAAACTATTATATACAACTGTGGCGTCTGCAATACAAAATTCCCCGTACAATCCGATCTCCTTCAACATTTGGCCGATGCGCACAACCAGACCCCGAAATTCGGGTGTTTCGTGTGTCTCAAAGAATTCACTTCACTCAGTGAATGCGAAGCGCATGTTTTATCCGACCACCCTGACGCCAAACTACCCGAGCAAAAGGTCAAAATAGAGACAAGAAAAATTAGCAGGATCGCCGAGAACAAGTATCGGGTGTGGCCTTTTATGTGTAAACCGTGTCAGTTACGATTCGTCTCGCTTCCCGTACTACAAAATCATTTAATATCGGAGGATCACGCAAAAACGGTGGAACTAGGACGATTGGAAATTTGTCCACGAGATGGGTTCGTTAACTTTATACAGATTGATTGTATGTACTCACGACAATTTTCGTATATATAGCTCTAAAAATTTCCAAGATTTCACATGAATTTTTGCTGGAAAAGCATGGAATTTTTTTAGCAAAATTTTCCCAAGAATTTGGTATATTTTTATTTCGCAGGATTATTTCGCTAACTCGCCCTGTCCAGCTTCAAGTTAGATAAATTCATGGAAATAAAATCAGAATACTAATTATTGAGGCAGTTCACGCAGGACTTGGTAACATTATAAAATTCGTACATTCTTGAAACTTATTTGTTTAGATATAAACTTTTGCAAAATTTTAAAGTATTTTAAATGAAAATTAGCTTATAAATTTTTGTAAACTTATTCAGATCAAGGGAGTCTTTTTTTGCAAAAAATTGTAAAATTATTGTACTAAACTTACGGATTTTATGTATTACAAGTTACCAACTAGTTTTTATTGTGTGAATTGCCTCATTGTTTGTATAGCTTTGCGAAATCTCGTCATATTTTTTTTACCTGCGACATATGTTATTTTTGCGATGTGACCTTGTAGTGAATATGTAAACCCATTAAAAACCTCGTTAAGTAAAATTTTTTATATATGAAATTAATTTCTAGATGTAGCCATAAGTACCGTGGCCAAGCAGCGTTGGATTCCCATCTGGCCGAACATGAACATCTCGACAAGAAAATTAAATGCCCCCAATGCCATTTTAAATTTGTGGATTCAAACCTCCTCTTACACCACCGGGTCCGATGTCATCAATACGTTCCCACAGATGCAGAAACTTTACAGCCAATTGTGCATCCGTGTCGCGTTGAAAATTGCGGAAAAGTATTTAACCAGAAAGGCCGACTCGCAAGACACATGGCGACCATGCACCGAGTAGGAAAACACATGTGTGACCAATGCGGCAAAGTTTATTCACAGTTGTAAGTCATTAAAAAATCAATTGGCCTCGGTTTACTCGGATTAAGTCAGCAAATTTTTAAAAATCAGTGAATTTGTAAAATGATGCGTTTTTGCTTAACAGGTTTTCAAACTAATTTTTTCACAATTTAATTAACATCCGATTGAATAATTATTATTGATTTTAGATGCATTGAATTATTTACATTTGTCCTTTATTTCCAGCGCTCATCTCAATAATCATGTGAAATACGTACACGAAAAGGTGCCAGGAAAATACGTGTGCGACATTTGTGGGAAACATTTCCAAACCAAGTATTACACCTTGATTGTCATCGACCAATTCATGGCGAGGAGCGTGCCCATCTTTGCTCTCAGTGCGGAAAAGCGTTCAAAACCAGGATAAGTTTAACGATTCATAACTACAGTCATGATCCAGAGCGTTGGACGAAACATTATCCGTATCGGATTCTAGTGGAAAAACGGTTACAAACCCAGCGGAAAAGAGAGGCAGCTGCAGCGATTTCCGGTGATACAACTGCGACGAAGAGGAGGCGAAAATCCAATATTTCGAAAGAAACAGATATAGTCGACCAATTTGTCTGCACAGAAGAGGACGAGGGTCAAATGGTTAAGGTGGGAGGGAACGAGGAAGTGGATGATATTTAGAGAAAAACTATATTTATTTATTTGAAATATGGATATAGTCAAATGAAACCCTTTAATATATAACTATATATATATTTAAAGTAAAACAAGACTGTAGCCTATTTAGTAAACAATTAGAGAGATAAATATTTAACTATTTATATATAAAAAGCAGTATCAATCAGCCTTCACTCTCTGCCCGGACCGCTGTATCTCCAGTCCGACCAGAATGCCATAAGACTTTTAACTATGTGGAACTGCGTACTGCGAGTCACAAGGGGACGTTCACATAAGGCGTCATCAAAAAGCGACTTAAAAGTACAAAACTCAAAATTAATTTTTTCGATATGTGTCTAACATATCGTTGTTAGACAATTACTGAGATAATTGGTCAAAGATAGTGCCACATTCTGTGCGTATGTCCCCCTCCATTCATTCAAAAATATTTGAAGTTAGCTGGCAACCTCACATAACGAGATAGGAAAAGTCCAGGCAGAGAGTGAAGCCTGGTATCAATTATTCCTGACTATTTATATAAAAAGTGTATTTAAATATATCGAACAACGAAGTTTTGTACTCACTAATTTAATAATTTAACGGTTCCCGACAATCTAAATTTGTACCTCGTCGCCTAAAAATATTAAAAATTAATTTCCTACAATTTTATGTACTTATTTAAAAGCACCTAGAAAATATCTCATCCTTCATGTGTATGTAAAACATAAAATCAAAACCTCTCCATAATTTTGTCTCACTTTCCTTCGTTTTCAAGGTTTGCTCATGTTTTGCTTTTGACTTTTTCAGTCAAAACCTGAGACCGGGACTTGCTCATCATTTCATCAATCAGTCTAGTGTTCACCTTCTTGCGATACGGTGTACGGTGCACGGGAAATAGTTTACCATGTTCTCTTCGTGTTGTGGCTAATTTTTTCCAGTTTTTAACCAGGTAAACAATTAAATTTAGCATTATCTTTTTGTGGCTTTATCCTGTATAATGTCTGTTCAAGTAATTGAGCACGTATTTATCTTGTTGGTAGAACGTTTTAAGTTAAAAAATACTGAAATTTGAAAACATGTAGTTGTACTGCATATATTTTTATATGTGTGTATATATTTTTTAACCCACTCAAATCAACCAATTCTTCTTTTTGCAGACATTTGTAGTAATTTCCTAAACACAAAATTCAAAAAAATCAACAAAAATTGAAAATGTCCAAGCCAAGGAGAAGACAATGCCAGCCTTCCTGCCTTCCCCCTGAATATGGACGTATGTAGAAACGAATAATCCAAGTCTATTTATTAAAAAAATTGGGTCTAAAATTTGTCTTTAAATGTTTCAGGTCGTCGCCACCATTTGTTCGTTCTTGCCCCTTAGCGACATGAAGACCTGTCGCCTCGTCTCGAAAATGTGGGACGCTGGAGCCACACTCATTCTTAAAAATGAAACCATGCTTCATCTAAATTTCAACCTCACTCCGACTGAAACCCAAAGGAATCAAAGATTTGTCGCAGAAATGGCTCAATCTGCATTTATGAATCCACCCAATTTACAAATTGACCTCGGAGGTGCTCCTGAATCTGAGGAATACAATGAGTTCGCATTTGCGCAGAGTGTCGCCTTGTTCAAAAAATTCACTTTGATCCGAAGGTTAAAACTTCGGGGGGGTATTACGCAAGCTTGGCAAGATGCAATGGTGGAAGCTATTTTCTTAAATATTCACGACAATGTGGCCCATTTGGAATTGGACTTGCGATATTATCTTCAAAAAACAACGCCTACCCTGGAATTTTGTCAGGGAAAGAAATTCATGAATTTGAAAAGATTGGATTTCTTGTATGGCATCCCAAGTAAAATATGGGGCCGAAGGATTTCAGCGTTTCCAAACCTGGAAGAACTTTCAGTGGATGCCAAGTCTCTAAAACATGAAGAAGTCCGAGGTCTAAAGTAAGTTGAAATTTGTGGTACCTGGAACTCAAAACTTTACTTCGATGTGTATTCTAGACTAGAATTTCTAGTGCAAAACATTAGGGGTATTCACTTACTTGGTTAATTTCAGATTTTACAGTTATCAAAAAAGTAGTAAAAAATTTTAATAAGGAGGCGAGTCACGCAGGCTGCATGAAAATGCTGAATAAAGTTGCATGTACATCAATGCCTCGTAACACCATAGTCAATTTGGAGATGAAATAAAAGTGAATGAAGGTGAGGCCTCTCGCGGAGACAGGCCATAAGTAGTAGCTCCTCTCATATCATCATCATCAAATCCATCATCATCATCACTTGTTTACAATATAAAAGTCTCGCAAATAATTGCAAATTATATTTTGAAATACTGAAAAAAGTGTATCTGGCCATCGCAGCAGTACACAGTAAGTACATAGGTAATTTTTTATATTTTTTTCATATTGAATTGATTCATTGCGTACATTTATTTGAATATTTATTATTTGATGGTGTGCATTTGTAAGTGGAAGGAAAGTCGAGGTTGTCCATTCAGTACGGTGCGATTTTACGTTTTTAAAATTTAGTTTAAAACAGTTTTCAATGAGTAAAAACTAGAGTCTTTTCTGTACACCGTAATGGATGGATGGCCTCGCAAGCGAGCTAGGATACGGCCGGTCTTACGGAGCAGGGACCGAATTCAGTGCTAGGTTACCATGGTTACCAAGGTGCATATTGACTTTAAGCCCAGCTAAGACTAATTTTACCTACGTTTCAACTGGAATTTAATTTCATGAAGCCATTTCTATTATTTTACGCTACAAATTCATTGACACCGAAAGTAAGCATTATCACCCATTTTGGAAAAATAAGATCGAATTGTAATTAAAATTCCGAAGTCTTTTTAGACCAAAGTAGGATACAATCTCTAATTTTACGCGAATGTAGTTGAATAAACAAATAAGTTTCATAAATCTTAAACGTCTAAATCATAGGTCCAACGTGAACAATGGCCTGTGTACAGAATGAAATACGTGGGAATTAGAGAGTATAAGAGGTCAGGTAAACGTGCGGTGTACGAGAAAAGGCTGATAGATAGTGATTCAAGACGGGCTGCATTAGGAATGATGATATCCATCAAGTCAGTCATTGCTATTAGCAAAGCTCTTCTGATCAGAGAGTTTAATCCTTTCAAATTCGTGCTGACGTATCGGTTTTGCCAAGATCCTTTAGAACTTTTTTTTAATACCGTGAGGGGAAGATTAGGTAATAATAACAATCCAACTGTGGTCGAGTTTAGGAACATTATGAAATCCATCTGGCACCAAAATCTCCTCAAGTCCACCAACACGGGTAACTGCATTGCGCAGATTGACGAAGGTGAAGTTCCTGGTGGTATGTTGCCTCTCAAACGTGTTCGGAAATTGAAGGTGCTCGATATGGATGACATTGATGCGTTGGACATTATAGATCTTAGCGCCCTCTCTGATCCACATTATTCAGATTTTTATAGGAATTGTCTAGCTTATATTAGCGGGAATGTGGTCAGAGTAGTTGGGACGAAGTTGAAGTGTGAGATTTGTGCCAATCACTTCTTAACACAGACGATGATCTTCTTCCTTCTCACTTTGCTAAGCTAATTGAGGCTAAGGATCGCGGAGGCTTATTCACCCCTGGTCATTCCGTTTTCCGTATAGTTGAGCTGACTGATGCATGTTATCGGCAAATTTGCAAAACTTCTGGTGGTTTAATGAAGGTATCTAATCTAGACCGTAGGATTTCTATGATGGTTACTGCACGATGCTTAGAAACCACAATTTTCCCACATCTGACGCATCACGTAGTTGATTTTGATCCATTAACTGAAACTAGTCATTTGTCTGATCTCATTTCTCGAATTTCGATGCATTTTTTGAAAATTCGCTTATTTGATCATGGTAATAGGTTTCAAAAGATGCGAGAAATTTCAACTTCTGTACGGCACAAATTTGGCAAATTAACAATATTTACCGAAGCGCATTAGAATAGGTTTAGAATTATTTTACAGATGCTCCTTAGAATTTTTAAGAATATATTTTAAGTATTTACAACTATTTGGAATTATTTAAATGTATTTTAAGTTGTATTTAGCATTATTTGGGATTACCTAGTTTAATTGAAGTTGTCTTTAGAATTATGTTAGAGTTACAATAGTTAAAAATTGTGTAAACATTATATTAGAATAATTTACTGATTATTTTTAAATTGTTCTACGTGACTGATTCACGTTAAGATGCCTTAAGAGACTTGTATCTCACTAAAAATTGTTAATCAATAAATAAATGTTGTTTCATTGTTGGACTGTGGATTCTGATTATATAACTTCACTATTTGCACATAAAAAATATTAAATAGAATGCATAATGTTTTATTCTCACAGGTCACCATGCCTTTGCATCCCGGCGATTTGGAAATTGCGGAGGCAATTTTTCGATTGTTCGATCATAAACTTATCGATTACGTCGTGCGTCAAAATTACAAATTACATGTAAATCATAATGCATAATAGATTGTTATTAATGAAATTTTTGTGTACAGGTCCTGACGGAGCGGGAATAGCGAGTTGCCCTCCAGGCAATTCCATTGCACCTCCGAGAGATGGCGAGGGTTTGGTGCTACGCATCTATTTGCCACTCCAAGCGTTATAACGCAACTTCAGCTTTTAAAAGCTTGTGTACTAATCGTTTGTACATGAGATTAGCGAAGTTGCAAAAATTTCTGCGTATTTATTTAATTAATGTTAATTTTTTTAAAGAAATATTATTAAATAAGTTCCAAAATTAATCAAGTTAATTATATGATGATTTTATTGCACCTCGTACTGAATTTGTCGTAAGCTGGTCTTAACTAAGTGATTTTCAACTCGTTTACTGAATTCAGCCCCGAATACAGGCCAAATCCGACATGTTGCTCTGGCAACAAAGTACTGAAGCCGATTTATCCCTTCCTTTAGATCCATGATGTACATAGATATGCAAGGTGATACCGTTTGCAGTTGTGTTGTGGTCAGTTTTAACTGGACCACGCATCTCTTACATAGTTTTTTTTACCGAATCCCAAGTACATCAGATTTACGAAATCTTTCTTTCAAGCAATTTTTAAAAGAATTTATTGTTAAAGTTGGTTATGATATGAATTATACTAACGCTTGTTTTTATTACTTTACAGACACCTCACCAAACTAAGCATTTCATCCATCGAGGGGAAAAGGGAGTGGGACTCATTGATGCAGCTGAACCAACCCCTGAAAAAGCTGTCCCTTATCAACATTCAACCAGATTGGTGGGACGATGAAGATGGTCGAATTCACTTCGACGGCCACACGCTCCTGGCCAAACATCACAACACGTTGGAGTACCTCACCCTAGAATTATGCCCAATCAGTCAATACCCGACTAAAAATATTATCTGGCAATTTCCTAATTGTCCTAATTTGAAACGTCTCGAACTATGCTTACCACAACACTCGCCGTACCAACCCAACAATAAGTTTGACATAAGATTCGACCCTGTTGGACTAAATCTTTCCACAGCTTTTCCCCAATTAAGGGAGGTAGGTTTAACTTTTATGGGAAAATGGGGAGGCGAGTGGCCACGTTATTTGGACCCCTTGTTCCGTTACACGGGGAACAAACCTCCAGTTTGTGAAGGTGTCACAAAATTTGAGGTTAGCTATAAACCTGAGTATCGTCGATTTTTTAAAGCGAGTCAAATTTCTGAAATAGGTGGCAACGTTAACTTGGGGTTTTATAGGTTTCAAGAAATATTTCCTAACGCGGACAATAAGTTTATGCAGGATTTGAAGCAATATTTTGGCAGGCAAGGGATCTAGTATTTTAGATTTTCAGTTTTACATATGCAATTTGAGGGAATTAAGAAACGTACAAACTTTTTGAAATATTAATCTCATACTTTCAAGGTGCATTTAAATAAATATTTGTACTTGTAGGTAATTAATTATTAATGCCTAATAGTTTTAAGGGGTAGTATAGTATTTATACAGCATTTATGTTTATATTTATATTACTTAATTTAAGTAGAATTAATAGTATTTATTTCGTAGTTTAAAATAATTATGTGTAAGTAATTTACGAGTAAATTCGTGGTTCCATAAATACTCATTTTTTGTAAAGAATCGTAATAATTAATTCACGTAAATATTTATTCAATGTTTTCATTTGATAATAAATTTCATATTTCGAAATTTTGTAATTCACGCAAACATATATATTAACGTATTACATGTGCACCAAGAATCGTGATTTTTTAAATACATATACATACCTACATATATATGTAGAAGAATAATACAAAATGTTGCAAAAAACGTTAGTAAATATCCAGTAAAACTTAACTAAATGCATAAAGCAAAATTTTACTTCGATTCACTACTATTTTTTACTTTGGCAGAACGTTTATTAGTGACTGGAGCTCCTGATAAGCTGGATTTCACCCATCCCACAACCTGGCGTCGTCCAACGCCAAGCGTATTGAGGAACATTGTTCGACACACGGCCAACCTCCTGTCGCGTAATTTCAAATAATAAATGTACGTTTCTTCCCTCCGAGACTCTTCACTCGGGTCTTTTTTACATGGCACAACGTCAATCAGTGACACGGCATATATCTTCTTCTCCGCCCAGTTCATATGTTTCCAGAATTCGTGAAAGATTTTTTGTCTGCAATTCTCCGGAAATTCGTTGCAATGACGAGTTTTTACTTCAGCACATCGCGCAGAACCACACGCATTTCCTAATTTCTTTTCCGGCTTTGGAATGTGTTCCTGTTTGATGGATTCTCCAATTTTGACGTGCTTAAATCCGAAATACGTCTCGCCAGTCATGCGTTTGGTTTTGTTAATTACGCTTTTCCACTTGGAGGGGTCTGGTATCTTTCTTCGTTTCACGGTAGGTTCTTCGTCAGGATTAGTAGGGACGACATTTTCGCATTTAGTGCAAGTAAAAGGTGTGTTGTCATCTGTGTCGCAAGGGTTCGAGTCAAAGTCGTTGGTGACCTGAAAAAATTAAAGTTTAATGATAAGTTGTCCTAGTGTGTTTCTCTTCATTAAATGAATCAACCACGAGCTGGGGATGAGGTTACAGGAGTCGTTTTTTACAAGTTTGTGTAAAATTAACAAATTATACGCAGATTCATGTAACAAAAATGGTAAAAGTGTGTTAAACAACTTGATAAATGTGGAACTTATTGAATTAAATATTTACATTGCTTTCATCTCGTTGATGATTGCTGGACGACGACGACGCCGCTGACGGAGGGAAATAATCTGGATCCTCTGTTTCAGGAAATATGACATAGTCGGGGTCACTAATTTGCATTTCTTGGTCCGTGTCGACCTCTGTCTTGATAAAGGTGTCGTCTGAAGGACAAGATCCTGCTTCTTGTCGTGGAATTGTGGACACTCGGCCTGTAAAATACGGAAATAGGTTAAGCTTTGCTGTTGTATAATGAAATTATCATAATTACCACGTCGCCGAGACTTGGAACATTTTGGAATAATTCGTTCGCATTCAACGTCAAGGGAAAGGGGGTCCTCCGTATGATATTCTGTGGTTAAAAGTTCAGTTTTTTATGCATATTTATTACCGTTCCCAGAAATATTCATTATCAGAATTTCCGATTAAGTATGTGGTTGGAATTTAATCGCGAACAAAATGAAGGCTCATAATTTACCAAAGCTGACAATTTCCGAAAAGTGTGTCCATTTCGCCAATTTTGAAACGATATTTTCCAAATAGTCCACCCTGGCGAGGAGCTCTTCCATAGCGAATTTTTACCCTTTAGAAATTAATTTTGTTTTCCAAAAATTTGCAAAATCAGCAATTTATAATTCGTAGATGCAAAAGTTGTGAAACATCATGTGTACAAATGTAAACTTTTTACTCGCTCCACTTTCCTCGTCTCATTTTCAGTCGTCTCACATTGACTCACATATCGGTCACACGATGAGAAACGTAGCTTTGTTCCGTGGCCACTAAGCGAAATGTACTGATTTTTTTGGCCAAAAGTCCTTAAGGGTTTCTTTAATGATATTTTTGCATATGCCGAACACTCACGGCCTCAGAACACGATAATAAAAAAATTGAGGAGCCACACCCACTTTGGGTGTGGCTTTTTCATATTGCATATAGGGCCAAACGCCATACCGGAAACTGTTGCCCATGCGATTCTATACATACAGTAAAATTTTCATCGAAATTCGTCCACAGGGTCTCGAGATATTAGCTCGGAAACCTCGGCGAAAGGCAAAAATCCACTACTTTGGGGGTGTGGTTCTCCGAATGGGGCAAATGCAGAAATTCGAAAACATGTCCAGCTGTTGAGACCATCAATGGCTATGAACTCCAATTTAAACGGAGCGATCGCATCCGCCCCTTTCCAAGATCACCAATGGAAAATTGGGAACAATCATGGCGAAATTGTCGCAAACTAACAAAATTCATCATGTCGTAAACCAGTAAAAATTGATATCTAGCTTCAGCTAAACCAAAACAGAGCGATGCTAGTGAAATTTGCCTATGTCGTTGGTGGATGGCGTCAACGTGTCGAAATTTCGACATGGGTCTGCAGCGATAAAATTTAAACTTGTTTTACCCAACACCTCAAAAGACATCCACAAACATTTTTTATCAAGTCGACATCCATTTATCACAATGGGAATGTTTAAATTTAAAACAAAGCCTCATAGTTTTAAAACTATAAAAAATATTTGTGCATGTCTTTTGAGGTGTCGGGTAAAACAAGTTTAAATTTTATCGCTGCAGATCAATGTCGAAATTTCGACACGTTGACGCCATCCACCAACGACATAGGCAAATTTCACTAGCATCGCTCTGTTTTGGTTTAGCTGAAGCTAGATATCAATTTTTACTGGTTTACGACATGATGAATTTTGTTAGTTTGCGACAATTTCGCCATGATTGTTCCCAATTTTCCATTGGTGATCTTGGAAAGGGGCGGATGCGATCGCTCCGTTTAAATTGGAGTTCATAGCCATTGATGGTCTCAACAGCTGGACATGTTTTCGAATTTCTGCATTTGCCCCATTCGGAGAACCACACCCCCAAAGTAGTGGATTTTTGCCTTTCGCCGAGGTTTCCGAGCTAATATCTCGAGACCCTGTGGACGAATTTCGATGAAAATTTTACTGTATGTATAGAATCGCATGGGCAACAGTTTCCGGTATGGCGTTTGGCCCTATATGCAATATGAAAAAGCCACACCCAAAGTGGGTGTGGCTCCTCAATTTTTTTATTATCGTGTTCTGAGGCCGTGAGTGTTCGGCATATGCAAAAATATCATTAAAGAAACCCTTAAGGACTTTTGGCCAAAAAAATCAGTACATTTCGCTTAGTGGTATGTCTCTTGGCATATCGGTAATTTACCGACGGTAAATATGTACATTTATTTGCATATTTATAGTAAATACGAAAATACATATGTGCAAATGTATATAAATATGTCGTAACATGATCAGTATAACGAAAGTTCCAAAATATGAGAAGAAAAATAAATAGTTGTCCACATATTATATCCTTGGTTTGAGAAATATTTAGAAATTTTGATTTCTAGCCCGAGTCAGGCCTAAAACAATAATTGAAAAAATCGGTTTTTATTTTTCAATTTGCAAAAAAAGTCCGATTGGGTATGTACAACTTGACCTGACTCGAGCTACATCAAGTCTGTCTGCATTATAGGTTTTTAAAAATGAAGTGAAATATTTTGTCTCTCAGGGAAGCGTTTAGAAACACGGGATATGACGAATTTGGTCAAAATGAGATTAACTATAAAATACTGAAATAATTTATGTTACTTTAATACTAGTTACTCTGCAGAATTCAATAACGATTTACAAAATTTCGAGTTTAATTTTTCAGAAAAATATATACATATACATACGTAACTGCTTTGATGTTTAGCCTAATCTTGATGCATAGATGAAGCATATAGATAGGTACATATATGGTAATTTTGTTGACGAAAATGAGGCATAGCCATGTATACATACATACCAAGCATACATACGTACATACATACATTTATCCTTAAACCTTCTGGAAGGTTTTTGCCAAATTTTCTTATGTACCAGATACATGTACATATGTATGCACATATACATATTTACATACATATAACCCAAAATTTTAAATTATTTCCAGCATAAAAGTTTTACTGATTTGTCATACATAAATAGGGTTAAATCCTTCTAACCCAACAATCCTTCTCTGGAGTTAATCCTTCACTTTGAAGGGTCACATTTAATCCTTCCTCGCTGTCTGCATAAACAATGCACCCTTACACATTTTACATGAATATGCCCACTTCCTTTCTTCCCTGCCCTGTAAAAAGGTCGCATATGAAATTGATACCATGTGCAAATTTACCTCGTTTTAAACCTTTAACCACTTTTAACCCTTCACATAAATGTGTATTCACAAGCGTTATTATTAAACATTCGGCTTCCAGGAAACTTACATGCTATTATCGTCTCAAGTTAAAAATTTATGTACACCATTGTTTTTTTTCAATAAGACAACGACTTGACACGGTCCATTTCTCATTTGAACTTTGTCCAGCAAGCGAAGCGATCCTGTTTACTAGTGACTCCAACTTTACACACATATCGGAAAATTCAGTTTCAACGGCAATTTGTAAGTTGTTCTCATTATTATTTATTTTTTCCTTTGACTTTATCCAGTAATTATTTGCATACATATGTATTTAAAGTTTAAATTTAAAGTTTAAGTTTTAAGTTTTAAGTTTAAGTTTTAATTTCAATTTTAAGTAGTTTAAATTTTAAACTACTGTTAAAATGTACTAAATTAAAATTCATTAATATTTTCTTTTTAAATAGTGTCACGACTTGACACGGTCCATTTCTTACTTGAACTTTGTCCAGCAAAGGGAGCGATCCTATTTACAAGCGACTCGTACATACATCTGCAAATTTTAACGGTAATAAATTCTTCACATTATACTTTTCTACGTTTGACTTTATTATTAATTATTAATTACTTAATTACCTACTTAATTATTTCGAATTCTGTCAACCAATAGATCCGTCAAGAGTCTCTCCGAAATGGATTTGCAACCACGAGGTCACATTTCCCAACCACCATTCCTGCGCGTTATTCTACCAAAGGTTAGATTTTCTATTAAATTAACCAAAACGAACATTTATGTCCTTATTTTTATTAGTTTAATCACGTATAAATCAAATAATTTATTCAGATTCGTTAAAATACATACACAAATTGTCTATTAATTTTTACTAACTTCCACAAATATTTCATTATCTAATTTCTAGGTCCTCGCAAGAAGAGTACATAATTCCGAAATGGCTTTGGAACCACGAGGTCAACGGGAAGAGCACGTTTCCCAGCCACCACATCTCGCCCTTATTCTTCCAGAGGTTAGATTTTCGTTAAATTGAATACGTATTTATTTCTGCTCGTTTGATCATGCGTAATATCACTAATTTACATAAATTTCTTCGAATTTCCGTTAATTTCCACTTTTCCAAAAATTATCATGTATGTATATACAAGCTAAAATCTTTTGTGAACTTGCTAACTTTTTTTGCAAATGATGCGAACTCGTATGTAGCGTGACTTCACTAATTCACATAAATTTACATAAATGTACATAAATTTGCGTTACTTTCCATTTCCATAAACTATTACGTAAAAGTCAATTTTTTGCGAACTTGCGAAGTTTATTTTTTGCTAACTATTTACAAACTCGTAATGAATGTCCCCACCATTTCTCCCGAATTTCGACTAATTTCCCCAAATTCTCTATTATTTAATTCCCAGATACTCGACGTAATAATGTCCTACGTCCCGACCACCGATCTCCTCGCCAGTGTCACCCACGTTTCCCGAGGGTGGGAAGACGCCGCTCGACACCACCTCGCCTCCCGCTCCCTCGTCGACCTCACCCCCACCAACATGCCCGCCTACCTGGACACTGCTAAAACCTGCCCCTACCCCCACAAACGTGTCCACCTCTCCGATTTCAACTTCCCCCAAATGTCCCCCGAGGAGTCCAATCTTCTCCAAGCGTTCATCTCGTCCCCCTCGACTGTCCGCATCACCGAGCTCCACCTGGACTACTTCCCCCACGGAGGGGAACCCATCCCCGCCCAAATTCTCGCCCTGCTGTCGACCTCCCCCTCCCTAAAATACGTCCACTTTTCTCCCAAAGAATTTACCCCAGAAATGTTCCAACCTTTCGCCATGTGCCCGACACGTGTCAAATTTCCCAACGTTACCAAACTCGGGATTGACCTGCCTCAAACGCTCTACTTCGGGGACATGTCGACAAACATAGTTCGTTCAGTCAGCCAAGAAACTATCCGCGGAATCGTGGCATTATTTCCGAATTTAAAAAGGCTACAGTGTGACACCCTTCCACAAGATTTAGTGGAATATTTCCTCTCCGGAAACTTATCCATTGAGGAAATTTCACTCAGACTGGATAGAACAATTAAACAACGACCACTTTCAATCGTATCGAGGTCAATTTTTCTGACTCAGATCGAATTTAAAATTGACACTTTTAACAAGTCGACGGATCATCACGCAATTCTCGCCACGTTTGCGGATAGGTTGGAAAAATTGAAAATTTCCGGGGTGGATGTCGTCTCTCCGGAATTTTGTAATTTAATTCGTGCCGGGACAATTACGCTGCCAGAGGTGTTGCCAAAATTAAAAAGTTTGGAAATTTCTATTTGTCCGGTTACTCTGTATTGTCGATTTTTGAGGGCCCCAAAAAATTCCCCGAAAGTTCCTGCGCTTAATTTGAAATTTTCCAAGGCAGAGGAATGTGTCCAGTATGCTAACCAATTTCCCGTCTTGGAAAAATTTGTAGTTTCAAAAGTAAATTATTCCGCTCATCCGCTAAATGAGGTGGAATGGTTTGAAATTTCGGCAGCACTTTTATACAAATTTTTCCTGCATGGAGAATCTCTTACGGTGCAAAATGTTCACGTTCCGCTACCTCCGAAGGGTATGAAAAGGTTTAAACTGCTTACTAATTTTCCTGATTGTCAGAACAAATTCGCTGCCGAGAGGGTATTATGTTCTCAATTTTTTAGAAGAATGGTGACAACGTTTCCAAATTTGAATACAAATTTGGAAAGGGTTTGAGCGAGTTTATGTAAATTGTGTAGGAATATGTGCGGATGTAACACAAAGAATGCATTCTTTGTATTACATCCGCACATATTCCTACAATTTATTTCGATTCGAATGGCGTGAAGTAGATTTCGTGTAAGATTGTGTGCATTTTATGTGCATTTTACGCTCAGTTTATGAAGAAGAAAGTCAATTTTTGTTACGAAAATGTAATTAATTTTTAATATGAATAGTTTATGGTTTGCAGAGAAAATGTATGTATGTAGTTAATTTTAAATATAAATATGAACGGGACAGTTTTTATTACTAAAATGTTGTTAATTATGAATATAAATACTTAATCGGATCGGAATGTGTGTGGTTTAGCAGCGGATGTAAATGGTAAAAAAAATGATGTGAAGTTGATTTCTAGCTAAAACTTGTGTATTTTAGGGAGAAAAAATTCAGTTAAATTTATGTTACAAAAATGTACTATATTTTTAATATGAATATGAACAGGACAATGCATCGTATGAAAATTTAGTCAATTTTATTTAAATAAATTTTTTGTAAACTATTTATTGCGATATATATAAATTACAAGAATAAAATAAACTCTAAAAATATAATATGCAGTGTATGTAAAACACAATTTACGCATTCATCTACATCCGTTCATTCTAAAAGCCAGGGCCTTCTGCAACACATATATAAGTGACATCGCATAGATACCGTAACACCTTAACTTTTCTAACCACAAACTTTCTCAATAAGACACAAAACCAGCATAAAATACCACGTCTCAGGAGGAGAGACCCTCTACATGCCCCTCTCAGATCTCGATGCCCTTTGGATATTTGATAGTCCTAGATGAATGTAGGATAACCCTAGAGTGGTTTGACGCCATGGCCACATTTGCGCCTGCCACACCCCCTCAAAGGTGTAAAAAACACGAAAAAAGCCCTGTTTTCATGTACTTCAACTGTCACCAAAAATCCAATTTTGCTCGGATTTTCATAAAATTTACATTTTTGTGATCCCAGATACTTGTGTGATCATATCCAGTAGCAATCTCAACTTTTTTGAAATTTTGAAAATTTTCTTATAATTCATGAGCAGTGGAATGTCCTAAAATTTCGGAAATTTCAAAAAGGTTGAGATTGCTACTGGATATGATCATACAAGTATCTGGGATCACAAAAATGTAAATTTTATGAAAATCCGAGCAAAATTGGATTTTTGGCGAATTTTTGAAGTTGTCAGTTTTTGTGGTTTTCACACCTTTGAGGGGGTGTGGCGGGCGCAAATGTGGCCATGGCATCAAACCACTCTAGGGTTATCCTTCACTCACCTAGGGCTACTACATATGCAAAAGGCATCGAGATCTGAGAGGGGCATGTAGAGGGGCTCTCCTCCTCAGTTTAGCCCCGCTATTCCTTCATCCGTCCCTCATAAACACCAAACTCACCGCTTGCTCGACCGTCGTTCGATTAAATTCTAGTGCGGTTGACGCCTCCATGAAATTACCGGCCCCACCGAATTTTATTTTTGTTGGCTGCAGCGATTTAACAATTCTCCGCAAGTATTTATCCTGCCCAATTTGGTCGACCCGTTTAAACGTGTCGATCACAGCGACGCTATCATTGTACAGTTTTCCGTACGTCGTATACATCCCGCCATGGACGAGGCAAACGATTTCGAGGACGAGCGTCAAAGAAAAAAGGGTGAGCGGGAGCGGCATGACGGCATGAAGGGCGATACAACTGTACAAACTAAGGATTGCCAAGGAGCACATGGTGACCATTAGATTGACCAGATTTCCACGGACTAGCTGGTTATGTTGGGCCGACAAGAGGAACGTTGTTCGGTAGAGGTGAAGATGCTTTTCATAGAAATTTGGAGACTTCTTACTGGATGCGCTGGAAATGGATTTTTTACACCTGCAAAATTAAGAATTAGGGTATTCATGCCAAGCGACAAAGTCAGTTTCATAGTCAATTGTCCTATGTATTTTGATGTGGGCCCATCAATCTCAAACAATTTCATCCCCTAATTGGGGTATTCATTACGAGTACGCAGGTTCGTACCCAAAATTAAAAGCTAAATACCAGCGTTGGCGATGCGCAAGTTCACAAATGAATTTTCAAGCCAATTTTTTTGTGAACTTTGTTTTTTGCTAACACTACAAGCTATGCGAATACGTAATGAATACCCCCAGTGAGGTCTTTGACCGTCAAGATTAGGGCAAATGTTACATTCAGGCAAACCTGCCCATCTATATACGTCACGTTATTAATATTAAACATAATTTTAAATTGATTCGCTAAATACGAATTAGATTTCGTAGACGTACCCCAATTGATACTCCGCAATGCACACCGCTCCAATAAATATAATGAAAACCCCTGTAAACGGAGTTAGCGCGAATCCCAACCCAATCGCCCAACTGTCCAAGAGATGAAAGGTAACTCTGACCCACATTCGTCCCCACGCTCTGGACGCAATCCTCCCGCAATGAGACGAGTAATGGTCGCGTACACGGAGCTCGCCAAATTTGGATTGACATTAGAACAGGATTTACCAACGGCACGGAAGTCGCAGCGTGGATGATAAACTTATGAAAACTTCCGGTAAACATTTCTTTGAATTCCGCCATCCAGTAGAGTACCGTTAGTTTTGGGTTGCTTGTAAAATTTGCGTCAAATCCAGTTTTAATTGCTTTTTCGAGCTGTTCGCTTCCTACATATAGAGGAATAAAAACTGGTGTAACATTGGAAACTTGAGCCTTAATCGTCCAGTAGTAAATTATGCACTCTTAGAAATCTGGTATTAAAATAATCCCGAAAGGAATATATATTTTACTCTACCCAATGGGCATTGGCCAGTAATACCGTGCAACCTAAACCCTGTATTACAGTTTCACCATGTCTGGAGAAAATTTTTACTGACCGGTATAACTTTAACGCTAAGCGGTAGCAACTTTAGTACCGGAATCAATACTTGCATCACCAGATTCTAATTCTAAGTGTGCATATCTCTATGTATTACTGCTTACCATCAAACTGTTTCCTTTCAAAGCAGATCAACGTATTAAGCCAAGCCGCAATTTCTTTCTCCCTGCTAAACGACAGCGTTCCGAAGGAAATTCCGCAGAAAACTACGATCCAAACCAGCCCAGCGAGAATGTTAGTTCCGAACGTAATATCTGATTCCCCCTCCAATAAAATTCCTCCCAACCGAAAGCTCATAACAGAAAAATAAGCAAATATCGTTAAGCTGAGGAAAATACGAACCGGACTTTTTAGCCAGGCAGACGGAACGAAAAAATTGACCGAGGTGGGCGTGGCTTTTGAATCCCACTTTACTGGGTTGCTCCCATACCAGGAATTCACCCAAAGACATTGTCTTGAGTAGGGTATAAATTGGTGAAACTTTACCATTTCTTTTAATTAAAGAACTCTGGGACAATAATGTCCGTGGCATTGGGGAAATATGCCTTAACAAAGGTTAACTGTGTCAATAGTGACATATTTTAATACGATTCGTTCCCAAAAGTATAGGTACGTACGAATATTATTTATGATCTCATGCTTAAATGGAATTAAATTGATGTTTAAATTCTAAAATGATACCCATCTTCAAAGAACCCTGGAAATTACAGAGTCTGCCTTTAAAGGCGATCTGAGAATTTGCTAAGATTTTCATCAGCCGTATATTTACTTAAATACGGCGGGTAGCCTATGACTTTAACATTCTTAGCGTCAAAACCCCTTGGTGTGCATCGAGCTACAACAAAGATTTACTGTACAGAAATATTCGATTCTCAGAAATATTGAAGGACGATGTAAATACTGATGGTATCTTGATGAATTTGTTGTTGGGTAGTAACGCCTCCATAAAATTGGTCAGATTCTGGGATTGTCAACATATTCCGGATAAGGAATTACATATTCAAGAAAATATCACAATCTTGCAAGATCAATGTTCATTTTATGGTTTTAAATTTCCAACAATTAATATGATGGCTCACTTAGGCGTAGAACTAGTAACAAGTACACGCTCTTACAGTTTTTTGAGTTGCTCAAACCCCCGAATGCCACAAACATCGCTGGAAAATTTGGTTTACGTATTTCCCTGCAACTTGTGGGCTTTTATCATAGGGACGTCCGTCCTTCTTGGCCTATTCCTCGTGTTTACTTCAAAAGCAAAGGTGTCAAAATTTGAAATACTAAGTACCGGATATAACATTCTGCTCGAGCAGGGCTCATCTATCGCGGGAAATGCAAGTGGAGAACTGTACATCTACTTCGTGTGCGGTCCATGGATTCTAATGTCGGTCATAATTACAACATTAATCCGTGGAGACAACGTGCAAAATACAATTAACCCTCTTCGTGTTCTGCCTTATGAAAATTTTAGTCAACTTATCGAGAATGGGTTTACCTTTACGGATGAAGGTGTCATTTACCGTGATAACGAAGGATCCGTATTTCGTAGTATGGGATGGCTTGCAGCCCATGTGAGTGCTCGATCTTCAGTTGAAACGTACTCCACCCTGATTTCAGAGGAGGTTTATGGGCATTTCAGCAATTCTGGTGTGCATTATGACCACAAGCTTATCAGACCGGAAACCAACCTCTGGTGGCAATATCCTAACCAAGTTATTAAAAATTCCAGTAGGTTTTCCTGTGCATCGGAAAAGATGGCTTATCTGGGGTGGATTGAGAGATTAAGGGATGCTAAGGTTTTGTTGGAAAAGCATCGACCTGGTCCGGAATACAGTGTTGGGGTGGAATCAATTGGATTAGTTCCGACTGGTTGGATTGTGGAAAATATTGTCAATCCAAGAGTTTTAGTTAGAATGAGATCATTGCATCACTCTGGTATTGCAAAAAAGTGGATCTGGTATCAAGGGATGGCTGAAAAGTTGAAAAAGCGGAAAAATATGGAAGATATTGGGCCAGAAGCGTTAATCCTGCTGGGAAATATTGCACAAATTTTCATAATTTTCTTTGAGGTCGTACTTTGTACTACGGTTGTATTTCTGGTTGAAACAATTTACTATAATATTTCGAATGGAAGACTACAACAGTTCTGTATTTTAAGGATTATAATATTTAAAGAGTGTTTATGTAAAGTTTTCATATGTGGTATTGCGAAAGTAAAGGCACTCAATCTAATAAGTAAGACACGAAGTAATCTAGGGAAATGAGATTGGACTTCAATTGAGTAATTAGAAACATTGCTATAGCTAGGATTAGTTTTACTGAAATGCCATGAGGTATGGATTGAACTGAAGGAGCCTATATTTCTCCTCAAACACGTATAATTTCCCTAACAGTAAGATTATGCAGAATTTTTAAAGTTCTAAGTAAGATAATCTTCGAGGAGTTGGCGGGCTACGGAACTGAGCAGACTTTCTTTCATCATATGCTCAATTTTATATTTTTAATTTTCAAATTTTTAATTATCCTGACACCACCATATAAGAAAAATTATTACATATCGTAGCCC